ATAAGTACAACAAATATTAGATAATAAACATCATGATTAGAGAGCAAGCAACCTGTGTATATTACATCTTATTTACCCATCAAATGTGTGATTGAATGTTTACATCTTATGGTGACATGATTTGGACAGATGAAGAACTAATGCAATGTGTCTTCATAGGAATGGCGGCAGGAGCAGGATGGATTTAGAGATATATGCCGTTCAAACATGTATGCATTCAAATCACTACACCCAAGACAGAGGCAAGAATGGACTATTTGGCAAAACTGCATACCAAAATTTAAGTAAAAACTATTGTTAGTTTCATGTTTGTAATAACGTGTTCTCCACCTTTTGATATAAAAACAAGTGTGGAGAAGGAGTAGCCTACCTAGGCCATAATCTCCCCCATTTTCATTGAAAACAAAACAAAATATCCTAGTTTGAACGGGGGTGTGTGTGGCGGCCCTTTAAGCCTAGCCCAAACTTTCCCTGGGATAAGAATATCCTAGGACAAAACTTCCCCGGGGAAAGTTTAGACCGGGGAAGAAATGGCCTGCTACACCGGTACCCTAAAACAGGGTTGAGCCCATATTCCGCAACCCAAAACCTGGGTAGGAATGGAAAAAGAAAATTTAGCACTCAATTGGAAAGATGTCGTAAACTTCAGAAAACACACCCAAATACCCAATATACCCACATGAGACGGGTAGTATATTCTTCAAGGAATGTAGAAAATTTGTCTGGTTCTTTACTTGGGTCACACGAACCTATCCTTATCTGTTAAAAAGGGAAATACCAAAAACAAGCCTAATGCCGCCATGTCCTCAAAGATTAGAGTATGCCAGACCTCCAGATATAAACAAGTCAAGCAACATTTCACAGACAACTGATAGCAATAATTAAAGTGTCCCAACCCCACAACCCCTAGGACCCTTCCTCCACTCCCCCCAGTCCCATGTTTTATACCTTCAGTCAGTTTCCCAGCAACTGAGAAATGTGGAACTTCCATAGTCTGTCTCACAGTCCCTGAACCATATTATTTTCCCTACAGCCTAGCCCTCCCTGCAATGCTAAAACCCTAAATGAAGCAAGTCTAGATTTCCCCAGGTTCAGGATCTCTGGTCTCCCTGGGGCTCCTTTTCAATTTAAATGGGTTTGTATGTTACTATCAAAATTATATATTCAGGGACTAAGCGTTAGTCTAGAACTTCCACAGCCTTGCATGGACCATCGCTCCATCTGCATGTTTTGTGGGATCAAATATCGTAACTCCCACAAGAAATAGCACACCAGCAAAAACGTGACAACTCCACAGATGCCTGAACAAGTGTAGAAATATGGAACTTTAAGGCTAACACAGTAACAGTTAGGAAGTGCTCTTTACACATATTTATGACACCAAAGTCAAAACTGCCTAGCTGGGCTACAACAAATAACTAAGTATAATGTTGGAAATTGGTTGAAATCTCATAATTGATAATTGGTTCATTACCAATTGGTTAGTGTCATTTTTCAGATTTTCTTATTCACTAATTCAAGGCCTAGATTTTCGAAGCTTTCTTAGCTCTAAGATAGTCGTAAGTGCCATACATTAACATTAACTTACGACTATCATAGCGCTAAGAGATCTTTGAAAATCTAGGCCCTGGTTGTTATTGCAGATAAGCATAACGTGGTTCTCTGTTAATTTTTGTTTTATTAGAAACTGTGCAAACAAACTGCATTGGCAAATTTTACAGCCTATGTAAAAACATGCATTACTGGCTACTTTAGAGTGATGACTAATATATCATGAACATAAACTTCCTGGAGTCCTCAAGAAATATTCAGTCATGACTAAGAATTAAACATGTTTCAGGCTCTGACAACTTCTAAGACATGTTCCATTGTCAAGTGTTTCAAACACTAAAACAGTAGTCCAAAAATCTTTTGAGTTGGGCTGAGTCCAAACAAAAGAACTAGAATCTGTACTTTACTGAGAAAGTAGAAGAAAGAAGAGGAGAAGAAAAAATTATATTACCCTGAATGGGAATTTGCTGTACATCATCACAGAGAGCACATATGAATATAGGATAAATAAGATAAATATAAGAGCGTTTAATCCCAAATATAACATATGTTTCATTTGAACAATTTCTAAATGGCATTGTGTATACATAGAATGATAGACTGCTTGGTCGCTTGGTCACTGCGACCAATCCTCGATTATTTCAATTAATCAAAACCACTAATATACGATGAGGTGAATATGACTGTAACTTAATAAAGTCTTAGCATGAATAAAAAGTATTGGACACAAAGGACTTTTACTCAAATGCGATAACAAGTCAACGGTTGATGTATTTTTCATGTTATTTTAATAATATTATTAATAACAAAATATATTGACATGTTTTGAGCATGTCGACAGTGTTAATTTATTAAAAAATGGCATTATTGTCAAATATATATAAATATAAGAGTGTTGACTATTATTCTGCTTGGTCAGGATATATTCCATATCTATCATGCTATCGCACTTTGAAACATAACAGACCAATTCATGTGAAAACCATTCTTCCTTAAAAATGAGTGAATATTGAATTCTAGTGATAACGAATAATTAATTGAATTCATAACAGGATACAGTTTGATTCACCTAATATGCAGGTGAATCATAACAGTCTTACTGCCTAGTATTACACATGATACATAGTATCATTTATCATGTTCCCTGTGCAATAAAATGTCATCAACATCACGCTGTTCACTAACTCTGAAATCAAAATGTTGTCACATAAACAATGTATTTGCTGCAGAAAAAAAGAACTAGGAAATTTTCATGATTTCATCAACTTTTGAAAAGAAAATCTTCATCACAATATTTTTTCAAAACAAATTTCAAAATTACCTTTCGGACAGTTTTCATGACAATCGGACATTGTCTGAATAAATTTACACCAATGTGAAACCCTTAGTATTGCTTTTACACTTCTTGACGAGAACATAAGTGTACACTGAACTGTCGGATTGTTTGGAGTGGAACTTGGTGTTTCAGTATGTTAAAATTTCAAACTACTGTTAATTCAAAATGATCTTCTTTTTAGTGTGTATTTATTTATCACTAACAAAGCTAACCCCAAATTCATAAATAAAGACCATGTATTTTATCGTGACACCCAACTGGCCTAACCAACATGATTGAGGTCAAGTTCAGTCTTTAATCTTGATCCGGTGTATATCATACATGAAGTATAAATCAGTGAGAGAAGAAACACAACACACATTGACTCAGCAGGATCAGCAACACCAATAACAGTATATTACCATATTTTACTAGTGCTGGAGTGATTGATCGAATAATCAGTCAATCGATCGATCTTGCTTGCATCAGCGATTATCAATGAGCTCGGGAGACTAATCAGAATTCATAAAAAAATGAAACATCAAATTAAACTTTACAAAGTATGTTTCTTATCATCATGCTTGTTAAATCTAAACATAAGCAACTCCCAAGCGTGTCTCAACAGGAATATCCTCAGTCGTCTTGATCATGGTATGTGTTCTGATTGTGTCCTGTTACTGCCCACATGAGTTTTGTGTGGAGTTTATGATTACAATCCATTATTGATCTACTACAGAGCTCAGATTATCGATCTGCATATTGTGAGTGTTAACCACCACTATATTTTACCCACAAGAAAAGGACTAACCAAAATATTAATTATCCTCTATCACAATCATGATGATCAAACTGAAGACCATTTACATACATCTGAGCATGTTGAGTAAATGAGATTACATACAAAGTGAGTTTTTAACTTCACTATCACTGATCATGTATATATTCTATCCAGGTCAGTACTGCCTGGTACACACATGATGAAAGCATTGACACTGACATTGCTGGACAGTACAAAACATACATCAGAACCAGTGTTTTGTTAAGTGAGTGAGTTAGTTAGTTTAGTTTTACGCCACACTCAGCAATATTCCAGCTATATGGCGGCGGCGGTCTGTAAATAAACGAGTCTGGACCAGACAATCCAGTTATCAACAGCATGACCATCGATCTGCGCAATTGGGAACTGATGACATGTGTCAACCAAGTCAGCAAGCCTGACCACCCGATCCCGTTAGTCACCTCTTGCGACAAGCATAGTCGCCTTTTGGTGCAAGCATGGGTTGCTGAAGACCTATTCTACCCCGGATCTTCACGGGTCGTGTCTTGTTAAGAGTTTGTGGCACGGCACATTTCTTTGGGACAACTCAAAACAGTGTCACACTCAACCAGTAAATGATGTAACTTTATGTTCAATAAAACTCAATAAAGCCAGACACTACAGTCCATAGAACACACAAGTCAGCACGAGGGATGATCAATATAAGAGTAGAAGTGATAATAACAATTATCAGCTGATAATATTAGTTCAAATTACAATAAGCAGTTAATAATTGCAATATTCTTCAGAATGAAAAACATGTGCACTTACATGCTACAGACTACAAATGATAAAATGAACATGTTGAGATTAGATCTTTCCCCTGGAAATGAGAACCACAGACTGAAACACATCCATCATGTAATTCTATACAAACTAATCACGATAAACCCAAGACATAACACAGCTCAAGTTGTTGCTGAGTCTAGTGCAAGTAATAAGCAGATATTATCCAGTAAAAACACCAAGCTCAATAAGTAACGCATAAACCTACACCCCCGCACACATCATTTGTATTGCAACATACATACACCAATTACATATAATATGATCATAATTACTTAAGTTACATTATGTACCAAGCTATTACTTCAGTAACAAAACTGAAAACTGTGTCAAATGGTGACAGCAGTGAATGTTCGAAATGTTTATCAGTTGTGTTGTCTGTCTTACCGTCAACAAGATATATCGACAGCAATTGACAGCACTGACATTAACACCATGAACAATATAACCATGCAGCACCCTCATACAAACTGTAATAGACATGCAATCAATGACTTGGCTCGTTGATTAGTGCAGAAGCTGCGTACTTACCAGCTAGACTGTGTGACTGATCAGATTTACACCGGATACAGGTTTATTTCTTAACCCAGCCTTCATGGACGGATAGTGATAAAATTCCTGAGTGGGTCGGTTCATAAGTACATAGGTGTGGACTTTGAACTTCAAGTGTTGAGGTGCATGGGGTCATTATCACATAACTGTGTCATATATGTTCAAAGTGCAATTCTGTGATTAGTAGTGAAGCAGCTCATGAAAATTTTCCCATACTTAATAATCACCAAGATCCAGTGGTATGTCTTTTGCCATATATGGTTTGATCATGCCACACTAACCATCTGCAACACTGGGTATTAGTTTCAGATTTGAAGGATGTTCATTGATTTGATAATGCTGTCCTTGGTGGAATTAATTACTTGATTAATTATTGCATTGGAGATACATGAAGCATGCTAAAAGTGGCTGACATAAATTGACACCAACACAGCGTAGTTGACACCAACACAGCGGTGAAGAGGTTTCATGTGTAACTGGAGCAAACTTGTTGTTGACAGCGTTTCCATAGTTACCAAGGCTACTTATCAAACTGAAATTTTCAAGATGCTTGTTGACAAGAGATAATGATGTCAACAGAGTTAAAAACATTAAAACATAGAACTCAATTGGTGATTTAAGCTGAATATATCCTACTGTCCTCATTAATAATGTCCTCATCAAGATAAATATTTCTAAACTGACAGCAAACAAAGTACAATAACCAACCTTTTGCTGAACATGGTGCAAGAAACAAATACACAACTGACCATGGAACTGATTGACATAAGATACATAAGCATTGATGAGGAACATTAATTAAAAGGTTGCCCACTAGAATTTGTCTCAAGCATGTCAAATGTATACTTAAGGCACAGAATCCTGAATCAGAATAGAGACATATAATAAATCTTACCACTCTTGAAAAGGTGAAATCAAGAAATATTCACAATAGATGTCTATCAACTTGATAAAAGACTTCTGGGCATGTCATAAACACCCGAAGGGAAAAGCTCCTCAGGGTGGCGGTTTAATTTCATACACCACTGCTTCCAAATCCCAGCAGTGGTAAATGGGAAAGTTTACATCCTAACACCATGAACATGACCTGTGGTTACAATCACCCCACCCAGGTCAGGGATATATTCTGCTTGGTCCATAAAGCCCAGTTATGAATTGACCACACAATAATAACACTCAAATTTGTAAGCCATGTTCAGGCAAACAATATCTCAGCTCAAACTGCTGACATATTTCACATAGTAAACACACTACATGTTAAGATACGTCCTTGACCATGGTTGACTGATTACGGAAAGTTTTTTTGTTGAAGATAAACAAGAAAATTTTACAAAGCATTCAACAAAAACAAATATGTAATTTTCTGAATAAAATTGATATTTTATACTTATCCTGACTCATGAAACATATTCAGATGCCCCATTAGAAAGAATTTGAATGTTTAATTTGGGATTGATCAATGGCACAGACAACATGACTGATATTCCAGTAATCCACCATGTTCACCAGTCAGTGTACCAAATCCTTCCAGATATTCACTTACTTGGGACAAACTAGTGGCCTTGTCTAACCCTGATTTCAGCAATGACCAGAAAGAGCACATGTTTGGACAAATTGTAGCCCTACAAATTTGTACAGCTAATCTTCATTAAATCTGACAAAAACACTTGAATCAGTTGAGGTTTCTTAAACTCATTACACACATTAAATAGATAAGATCTTTCTATTGTTAAGCTGGACATTGTCCATGGTTGACTCAGTCAGGATTCCTTGTTTGTGGGTCCCAGGAATAATGAGGGCCAAGTTGGACCCTGCAACCTCTTGACATGTACAGGGATTGGGAAAGGCAGGGGCCATGGGCCATTTTGCACATTAGCATAAAAAATGGCCCATTACAATTTTGAAGTTTACTATTGATACAAGGGCAACGGTCCATTCTAAATTCAGGAAATGGCTCATAATCCTGAAATTAGTGAAAATGGCCCCTTGTCAAAGTTCTTATTCTTAAAGTTCAAAGATTTTTAATAACAACATCATAATCCATTCTCTGGAGATCTACCTTAATTGCCACAGGGAGTTGTTTGAAACATAACTTGTTTGAAACACAACTCAAAGACAAAGTGAAAAAATCAGAAAATGGACAGTCTGAGTTCGACAGAATTTGTTCATGGATAGAAACAACACTTACTTAATACGCTCAGGTTACAGGTGAATTTGGAAGACTCTATAATCTGTAATCTGTATCCACTACAACCTTGTACATAAAGACAACTGATTAGGCAAAAAAAAAGAAGGTCAGTTTCCGGTACCCCGACCAACCCTATCCTAAACCCATCCCCGACCGTAAATCTTTTTTGACCAAGTCAATATCATGACTGGAGTGCATTTCAACTCATCATTTTCATCCAAATCAATTATGATATTTTCATGTTTTTCAGTGTACGTAGGGCTAAAATGGATTGCATTGAATTGGCATAATGGGTCCTCACTGACCAAATCTGCAAATAATGAAATATATACCATAAATAATGGTATGATAAAGAAATCTTTCAATGTTTCATCATAAGGCATTGTCACTACATGATATGGTATCCGTGAAGACCGCAGGTGCCTACCTGATGCTACTATAAAACAAAAACAAAGTTAAAAAAGAAGAAGATAAAACCGACTCACCTACCCTATTTTTAAAAAAGCATGCAATAGGAAAGGGACATATTTTATTTTTGGCCTTAGTGGTAGCCTTTACTGCATTTAGCATGTTAGGCATACTGTGTATTCAATGGCCTGGCATACTATCTTCATTGCAAAATATCTCCCTTGTTGCAACATATGTGCAATGGAAAATTAATATGAAATATAATTTCTGCAAGGATCAAGTACATGATCATGATGATATATTTTGCTAGGTTTTAACACTTTTCTTAACAATGCTTATACTACTTATAGAGCCACACATTGTATTTTTTCAGTTTCATTTGTTCAATCAATTTTCCATACATATTAAAAAAATATCTGTTCAATCTGCTATCCAATTAGGTTTGTCAAGGATTACTCTGAAATGAATTCTTTGAAAATGTCCAATTATAATAACGTGGAGAATATGAGATGATGGTGAAGAGAGAGATGAACATGATGGTGAAATTATGAAAAGAGACATGACAAAACTGCCTCAAGTACTGTACATAACTGATTCTGAAGCTCAACTCTGTTTTCAGTCAAGCTGAAATACAGCTCTAAAATCTCTCAGGGGTGGAAATAACCCATTGCCCGACGTCTTAGTCCAGTGTTTTTTTCTGTCGGGCAAGCAAATTTGTATATCACACTGTACCGGTGTCCAGTTGACTTTCCAATGTTTTATTATGTTGTTTATTTAAAAAATCAGCAAGAAAACGGTCGGTATAGTGGGAAAATAATCAGGGCAAGTGACTTTACATGTGCCACTGTACCGGAGTACACTAGCAATTTTAAACTTATTTCCACCCCTGTCTCTTAAAATAGAGTTTTAAAAAAATGGATGCTCATTAAACGGTGATCCTCTGCTCATGCTACCATGTTCATCCATGTTTATGTATCAGGGTGTGGAGTCATCCCACAGATGACGTCCTGACTGTGTCTGCTTGCTGACAGGGTTAACCTCTTTGGTCATGTGGACAACTTCCCCCGACAAGGCATCTGATCTCGGATCCGAAGGTCAGTGGTTGGAATCCCAGCACTGGATTCAGAATTTTCATGGCCGCTACACTTACCACTGGCCTGGTGGTTCTTCTAACATTACAATAGACATGATAGATAACTGAGTATTAACGCTATTCCCAATTCTATTTCACCCGGAGAACAGAAGGTTCTGGGTTCGATCCCCAACCTCGTCATGCCAAAAGACGTTAAAATATGGTACTTGTTGGTCCCTGCCTGGCACTCAGCATTAATGGGTACATCAAGGACTGTTCGGCTCGGAGTTAATATAATGTGTCTGAGTGGGGTATTCATGCTTAACTGCATCATGGTATCTCAGTGAGCTAGCACTATAGTATAATACCAGTTTAAGTTTGGGCTAGTATAAGCAGCCACACATACACAAAATTACACATGCATGCATGTCGTCATATGAGCGAAATATTCTCAAGCATGACATTAAGCCCCATTTCACCTCACCCAGTTCTATTCACAGTGTAATGTGATCTCACTAACTGATGATTCAAGTATTTATGACATTGTAAGAAGCAATGAATCATCAGCAATAGTCTGCAGCATAACTAATGATTATGAACACTCTGCCCAAAGCAAAAGTGCTATTTGAGTGCATAGATGTTAACACATGGTTAATGATAGTTTGTCTTTGTGTTGGCATTATTTGAGAAATTTGTGAGGAAAAGAGATTTCCCTGCCTTGTAATAAGTATTTATGGAGAGAAAGTCCTTTGAGATATTAACTGACTACCAACTTCAACTGAAGTGTGTGTCTGGACACCTAGTTTTGCCGTGCAATTTATAACCCTTTGGCTAAAATGTATCTTTAATCAACATCACTGAATATATCGTTTATCCCTGAAGCACTGCAAAGAGATTTTCCTGCCTTGTGATAAGTATTTATGGAGAAAAAGTCCTTTGAGATATCAACTGACTACCAACTTCAACTGATGTGTGTGTCTGGACACCTAGTTTTGCAGTGCCTTTGGCTAAGACAGGATTGGGATAGAGAACTTTGACAATGGGCCATTTTCAGGATTATTAGTCATTTTTGAATTTAGAATGGGCCACTGCCCTTGTATCAATAGTAAATTTCAAAATTATAATGGGCCATTTTTATTCTAATGTGCTTAATGGACCATGGCCCCTGCCTTTCCCAATCCCTGTGAATATGTATCTTTAATCAACATCACTGAATATATTGTTTATCCCTGAAGCACTGCAAAGAGATTTCCCTGCCTTGTGATAAGTATTTATGGAGAAAAAGTCCTTTGAGATATCAACTGACTACCAACTTCAACTGATGTGTGTGTCTGGACACCTAGGCAGTTTATAACCCTTTGGCTAATATGAATCTTCAGTGTTCACGAATGGTGTTTCAAAGTAACAGGACATTGGGTCCTGTAAGCTTCAGATGTCTGTCTGACCCACTGAAAATTCACATGACCCAAAGAATAAAATTAAACACACATTTCAGATTTAACATTTCTTATCATTGGCATTGAAATTATTAACAAACATAAGATTTATAAACAGCAAACAAATGTCACATGTCACATATAACAAGTTCAGTCAAAGTCATTGTGAAATATACAGTCAGACACTGGGGTCGGTGGGTTGTAGACTTCTATCGGACCTTTGGCGAATCTGCCGGATTTGTCAGAGGGTCAGACGCTATTCGTGAACACTGATCTTTAATCAACATCACTGAATATATTGTTTATTCCTAAAGCATTGTCAGTCATGCCATACAGTCTTTCCAAATTGGCCCATGTCCCGAAACATAGAGTACCCTGGGAACCCATGACCTCAGGCAACCCCTGACGAATTAATACACTTATGCAGCATCCATGCCAGACGCCCACACATTCCAAGGTTTCTTCACAGATACCTCATCCGTAACCACAGGTTTCAACATTTCACTTGGACTATCACACACAAGTTGATTGTGCCTACAAACTGGTAATATTACTCGATGTACGAGTTTACAAACTGTTAACATGGTTAACGAGGGTACGTCCTTACGCCTCGCTGGAAATATGGTATTTAGATAGGTGTTTTCCAGATATTTTACCCTTCAGTGAACCGTTAAGTATGAGAACGAGCGAACAGTTTGCTTAATGCCTCTTCAATCTGAAAATGAACTCTTATAGACTGTATGACACTTTATTAGATCACTCTTTATCTAAGTTACATTATAATACCAGCAGCGTCATAATAGTCTAGGACTGTTTGAGACTGCAGCTTCTGCAACAGAACGTCGACCTTCAAGTAAATGGCGATCAACACAAAACATGGACCTGTAGCATAAGAAGCCAGATCTTCATAACCAACCACAGTTCGAAGTGTTACAAGCAAACAATTACACTTACTGTAAAATCACTGGTATAAACAAGACTCGTCTGCTGGGATACCACGCCGTACGCAAAATCGGTAGGCACAACGCCAAGGGCATTGACTTCCGCTTCCGGAATTTCCGTCATGCGCAACACGTGTTGTATGTGCACCTTTCGAAGTGGGCTGAGTGACTGCATCTCATTAGTTGAGACAATCAATAAATGTACTCTGGTAATTACACCGTGGACTTCTTGTTAATTATAAGAGACTGTATGGCGTTGAGGTATCCTATTTGAACATAATTAGCACAGTGAACATCTCACTCTCATCTCGTTATGGTAATGATGCTACTACAGGCAGTAATCAAAATAGAGAGAAAATGTAGGCTTATGTATGCGATCGATTTTCCATGTTTTGTCGAATCTATTGTCTTGTGGGTCTTGTGATATTCTTGAGGGAGACAGAACATATTAACCAAATCGAAAACAATGGAATTACTATTATGGATTGTGAACAGTCGATTGAACTTAGCCTGTACTGTAAAATTTTGACAAGTTGTCCCAAAAGAAATTCTTTAATAGTCCCGACACAGCTCAAGACCTACTATCTTACACATTAAATGAGAATTTTAGATGAAACAATATACCCATAAAAACAACAAACTAAGAATTTTCAATCCTTTCTATATTAAGGACAGTTTATTAAAGAGCACAGTTCAAATGCTAAGAGATTGTTTGAGTGAGTACAAACTATGCTTATATTGTGGACATATGGACCATGTGTTGTATCAGGCCACATATAGCAGAGGACCAGTTGATGGTGGAGATTCATGGCCTCAAAAAGGGATAGAACTGATACTTGAGAGTGTGATGTATGAAAAGTTGTGATGTTGACTACAAGCTGCAATGCATAATTATGATCGATCTGTTCACGGAGCAGTTGTTTCAAGTGTGCCATAGGGTATTGATGAAGATGTCTCCATTTTGGACTTTTAGTGTGCTGACAGGAAGAAGAGTGTGAAGTGTAAAAAGGAAATAGAATAATTGTGGTTCTGTTCTAATGTTTAATGTTTCCTATGTGTGTCAAGTTTACTTGTGTACAACTGTCATATATAGGCTTCACATGATAAGGAAGTCACATACTTTCATTTTAGAACTAAATGAATATGGGGAGTTGTTTATCATGCTATAAAAAATGAAGGGAGGGACATGAGGGGTGTAGCTTGATACCATATTTGTAAACAGACCTTGGTTTAAAACATGTTCTACTCAAGTTGAGAAACCCTTGGAATGTAAGATCAGAGATTTTCTTATTATTTTGTACGAAACTGAAAGCAGTCAATGGTGAAAGAATGCATCGTCAATTGCAACACCATCACTTATCACTATATTTGTAGCAACAGTTTGTAAAAGTCACAATTGTTTATCTGTCCAGTTCAAGCTCATCTTTCAGTATCAATTTTGTGCCTTTACAAGGACAATAACTTTGCTTTTATCTGTGGCGAAGTCGGTCTCAAAGCAAACTTGTGGAAACTGTTGTTAATACTTGTTATGTAACACTCTGTATTATACATAAGGCCCAGGATGAGAGATTATTAAAAGTGTAGACAATGGCTCCTGTGGTAGTGGTTTCACACCCTGTTCAGTAAAGTAGACATAACACAACGCCAGTAAGTGTGATATAATCAGAGTCCATATATTTGATTTATCATGGTCTCTGATGTAATACTCACAGATTATTATGATTATGTAAGAAGGTATCTCACTCGAATGCTGTCAAAGCACATTGTTGACATTTTGTTGATTTGTGATAAACCTTACATTATACAAATGATTTAAAAAATCAGTCCTTTTTACTACAATTAATAACAAAGTGTTGATAATTTCGAGATTATCACAGGAGTATGTGTAATCCGAGATTAAGACATGTAACAGAAGTCACTTGGAAAACAGGGGTGGTGGGGTAGCCCGGCAGTTTAAGCGTTCGCTCGTCACGCTGAAGGCTCGGGTTTGATTCCCCACATGGGTACAATGTGTGAAGCCCAATTCTTGTGTTCCCCTGCTGTGATATTGCTGGAATATTACTGAAAGCGGCATAAAACTAAACTTGTTACACTTGGAAAATACAAATATTCTCACACCGATTGGTTAAGATCAGTCTCACACATCTAACCTGGTTGTGATCGCAATGCACGTTAATATTCGTTGTTATTTACAAAACTAGGAGGTGATCTAATTGAATGTTTATATTCGATCTTGATTTATATTTGATGTTATCTGCAAACTTTGAGGAGATCTCAATTCATGTTTAGCGTGTGAAGGACCGGGTTAGAATGAACCTTCAGTAACCCATGCTTGTCGTAAGAGGCAACAAACGGGATCAGGTGGTCAGGCTCGCTGGCTTAGTTGACACATGTCCACGGTTCCCAATTGCCCAGGTCGATGCTCATGATGTTGAACACTGGTTTGTCCAGTCCAGACTCGATTATTTACAGACCGCCGCCATATAGCTGGAATATTGCTGAGTGCGGCATAAAACTCAACTCACTCACTCACTCACTCACTCAATTCATGTTAATGTTTGATGTTATCTACAAACTCCAAGGTGATCTCAATGCATGTTTATATTGGATGTTATGTACAAACTCCAAGGTGATCTCAATGCATGTTTATATTGGATGTTATCTACAAACTCCAAGGTGATCTCAATGCATGTTTATATTGGATGTTATCTACAAACTCCAAGGTGATCTCAATGCATGTTTATATTGGATGTTATCTACAAACTCCGAGGTGATATAGTGCTGAATGAATTGTCTGCTGTGCCTGAAGCACACCATGACCTTGATGCTCCTGATGTTTTCACGTTCTCCATCGTAGCCCTCGGGTATGTCAGGCCATCATTATGTCTCAGCACTGCCTGTGGTTGTGTGTTTCACCAAAGTGGTAAACATGTATCCTTGTATTTTCTTGTACATATGAACTGTGACTTGTCAGCGCTTTGAGCATTGCCCTTGTGTTGTGGAAGTCAGCGCGATATTAATACTCTTATTATTATTATTATTGCCTACATCACTTCATCTCCACTAATCTCCAGGGTATACATTCTGATAAATCTCCACTAGTGGACGTATACCCTGGAGATTATGGAGGATTTAAACATGTAAGACCTACATCACTTCATGCCTTCCTCCTTTTTTGAACTGACATTCAGTGATATAAGTATTGTAACTGGAAACTGTTTAAACTGAAGGGGTAATAAGGCAGTGTTAAACACAGCCAAGTCACTATCTGCCTCTATTCTTTGCTCACAACAGGTATACTGGTATTTTAATAGTTTGTGTTTAACTGTGGTATATGCTACCTCCAGTTTTCTTCTACAAGGTGTGTACATTGGTATATTCACTGCACATGGGATGTATTATCCTAAGAAAAGGATGTATTCATGCTTTACAAGAGACAATGTTTTTATGGCCCTTAGTTCAGCATGTGCATAATTGTTGCCATTCTGGTTTGGAAATAAGCAAAATATTTTACTCTCAAATGAATTTTCTTTTCAATGAGAAATATATGAAAAATCCTACCTTTCACCTTACTTTTGAGAAAATGTGACTTGCAAATATTTACGTTTCTATGCAACCTTGAGCAACATTTTATGGACATATTTAGGTGAGGTTTACCTGAGGAAAGAATAAGAGCACCCTTAAGTACATGATGCTTTCTGCAGTTAATATAAATACACCATCCCCACTGAGAAAGTGTAATCCCAAATATACTACCCATCAAAAGTTTAGACTCACTAGTGTAAATGTAGCCACTTACTTGTCCACTGTTCTAAACTAGCTTTTTGCAAAATATTCCATACTGTTTAAAGGTACTGTTTAGTTATGAACTGGTGTATTGTAGTTGGTGGAGAAATTCATCTTGATGTAACCACATACATATACATAACATATAGTGAGTGCTTTAAATTGAGTCTAAACTTTTGATGGGTAGTATATATGTTACATATTTCTGTCTTGTCGGATACAGATCCCACACAACCTTCCTTCAGTGACAGAAGGTGAAGCCCAAGACTTGACTTACACCATGGCACTGGAAGATGACTGGCTGTTTGACTCTATAAAAAAGTAAGTTCTTATATGAGTTTATAATGCCCTAAACTTGATTCACTAGATGAATGCCCATAGCGCTAACAATCTGATTATTATTACCCCGGATAACCCAAGCTGCTTGTGAGGCACTGGAAGGTTAATAGTCACATGACATATCCCACCCGGTACCCATTTTCACTGGGTGAACAAAGGCAATTTTGAACAAATGACTTGCTTAAGGTGAGACCACATGTATTTTTTCATTGGAAAGCATGGTTGGCCAGTCCATCTTGCTGCCATTCACTGTACATGGTCACTGCCCATAGTGTGGAAGAATCCTATGATCAGTGATACGAAGTCCAGGTTCAGCCTGTTTACCATTCTTTATAGCTAAAATGGATAGAATTATCATTAAAACGCCCTCACGTTATCAGAAATGAGCCACTGTAACTTGATAATGCCTGCAAAATGCTTGACGACGGGCCATTATCAAGCCCGTTGTTAGGTGACGTCATAAGTAGCTCAGCTGTTGATATTCAATCACATACGGCCCGTTTGAACTTGGGTTCATTATTGACGAAATTTCTGACTCCCATTCATCACATGTACCTGTGCCTTTATGCACTTTCTTGTCGGTGTCAACCGTAACAATTGTACCATAAATTACGACATACGGCAATGAAAAACGACTGGAACTGTAACGTTTTTGAGCTCTGAGAAAAATGGCGGCTGGTAGTATGGGCAAAGGTCAAGGCTATAGTAACGGTATCGCTATTTTTCAGGGCATTATCATTTGCAGAAGCCCTCGGTCTTTTCAACTGCCCTCCTGCGTCGGGCAGTTAATGAAAGACCTCAGGCTTCTGCAAATGATAATGCCCTGAAAAATAGCGTTACCCTCATATTGTATGTCAGCCTCATATAACAGCAGCGTTGAACATCAAGCGGGTCTCATTGTTACAGTAATGTTTGGGTGTTCTTAGGAAGATTGAGGATATTTCCTCAGAAGCTGTAGGTTATTCAAATGTCAAAAACCTGTAAGTAGTACATCGTGCAGAATGGTAAGGTCCATCTAGTGGTCTTGCTGGCAGTGGTATTGGTGTGATTCTGACGGTCTGAGTTGTTCCAGGTACAAGACCCTACACATGTACGACCTGCACAAACCAGTCCAGGCTTCTGATTGGCTGTCATCTGATCGTAAGTCTATAAGTCATTGGGCAACAGAACTAAAGTACTGTCGGAAATAGACAAAAAATGTTTTTAGTGCTATTACTCTGTATCCGTAAAATTTACACAACTGCAAGTAGCATATGTTGAAACAACCCACATCGGCCTAACTGGGTTCAGTGGGATGTGTAATAGGATATCCAGAAATGCATGTTTACTTGTAAAACCGGCAAAACTTAGAAAAAATACGAATAGCTGCTGAAAACAATAGGTCAGACTATAGATGGCAATTAGGTTGCTTAGCCAGGTATGACGACGGACCGTCGACTCACCTGGTATGAAATGCATGTGCTGCCTACAGGCACAAGGGGTCATCTCAAAGATATTTTATGCTTTTTTCATGTGTATTGAATATGTCTCATCTATTGATTATCATATTACGTGTCTTTCATATAGTTTATGTTGAGATATGTAAAAGAATATGATACCCATAGAAAAGCTTAAATCAACTATCGTATTAAATGTCTCAAAATATATAGGTGGCAAGACCACCCCAAAATCGACAGGACTGGAAATTATTTGTTAATTGTTAAGACATGCCGTTTACTTCCCCCAGTTTAATTCCCCTAAAGGATTATCTGATCTTAGCTGATATCTCTATTCCCCAGTATAACCCCAACCACTTTCTCTGACACTCATCCTGGTTTGGCTTTTGAGACAACCCTCCAACCTGTTTCTTTTTATAGTGATAGTGAGGCTCCATGGTAGCTACATCCTTGATGGTTTCAGTATTAAAGTTTGTATTTTTTTACATCAGCTATCGTTTATAATGAAGCTAAGTCTAGTTTAAAAAGAGGCATTTTAAAAGTGTCCTTGGAAATACAATATCATCGCACACTAATATGCATAAAGCCATGGTCTGTTCTAAATAAGTCGCTTTGGACTTTGAAAAATACAGTTTTTTTCTATTTCAGACAGTAGTTAAGAGCATAAGCACAGCTGGTCAGGTCAATTCTATTAGTTCTCATAAGTCTGTGTCAGTAGGACACAGGGATTTGTGTGTCACCATGGTTACAATGTGTGACCTGGGTGATTGTGTGTCACCATGGTTACAATGTGTGACCAGGCTGATTGTGTGTCACCATGGTTACAATGTGTGACCTGGGTGATTGCGTGTCACTATAGTTACAATGTGTGACGAGGACGATTGTGTTTCATCATGGTTACAATACGTGATTAGGCTACTTGTGTGTCACCATGGTTACAATGTGTGACCTTGGTGTTTGTGTGTCATCATGTTTACAATATGTGACCTGGGTATTTGTGTGTCATCAAGGTTACATTGTGTGACCTTGGTGTTTGTGTGTCGCCATGGTTACAATGTGTGATCTGGCTGATTGTGTCATGGTTAGAATGTGTGATCTGGCTGATTGTGTCGCCATGGTTACAATGTGTGATCTGGCTGATTGTGTCATGGTTAAAATGTGTGATCTGGCTGATTGTGTCGCCATGGTTACAATGTGTGATCTGGCTGATTGTGTCATGGTTACAATGTGTGATCTGGCTGATTGTGTCATCATGGTTACAATGTGTGATCTGGATGATTGTGTCATCATGGTTACAATGTGTGATCTGGATGATTGTGTCATCATGGTTACAATGTGTGATCTGGATGATGGTGTGTCATCATGGTTACAAATGTGTGATCTTGATGATTGTGTGTCATCATGGTTACAATGTGTGATCTGGATGATTGTGTCATCATGGTTACAATGTGTGATCTTGATTGTGTGTCATCATGGTTACAATGTGTGATCTGGATGATTGTGTCATCATGGTTACAATGTGTGATCTTGATTGTGTGTCATGATGGTTACAATTTGTGATCTGGATGATTGTGTGTCATAGTTACAATGTGTGATCTGGATGATGGTGTGTCATCATGGTTACAATGTGTGATCTAGATGATTGTGTGTCATCATGGTTACAGTGTGTGATCTGGATGATTGTGTGTCATCATGGTTACAGTGTGTGATCTGGATGATTGTGTGTCATCATGGTTACAATGTGTGATCTGGATGATGGTGTGTCATCATGGTTACAATGTGTGATCTAGATGATGGTGTGTCATCATGGTTACAGTGTGTGATCTGGATGATTGTGTGTCATCATGGTTACAGTGTGTGATCTGGATGATGGTGTGTCATGGTTACAGTGTGTGATCTGGATGATTGTGTGTCATCATGGTGACAATGTGTGATCTGGATGATTGTGTGTCATCATGGTTACAATGTGTGATCTGGATGATGGTGTGTCATCATGGTTACAATGTGTGATCTAGATGATGGTGTGTCATCGTGGTTACAATGTGTGATCTGGATGATGGTGTGTCATCATGGTTACAATGTGTGATCTGGATGATGGTGTGTCATCATGGTTACAATGTGTGATCTGGATGATGGTGTGTCATCATGGTTACAATTTGTGATCTGGATGATTGTGTCATGGTTACAATGTGTGATCTGGATGATGGTGTGTCATCACGGTTACAGTGTGTGATCTGGATGATTGTGTGTCATCATGGTTACAATGTGTGATCTTGATGATGGTGTGTCATCATGGTTACAATGTGTGATCTGGGATGATTGTGTGTCATCATGGTTACAATGTGTGATCTGGATGATTGTGTGTCATCATGGTTACAATATGTGATCTGGATGATTGTGTGTCATCATGGTTACAATTTGTGACCTGCTTGTTTGTGTGTCATCATGGTTACAATATGTGATCTGGAAGATTGTTTGTCATGATGGTTAAAATGTGTGATCTGGATGATTGTGTGTCATCATGGTTACAGTGTGTGATCTGGGTGTTTGTGTGTCATAGTTACAATGTGTGATCTGGATGATTGTGTGTCATCATGGTTACAGTGTGTGATCTGGATGATTGTGTGTCATGGTTACAATGTGTGATCTGGATGATTGTGTGTCATCATGGTTACAGTGTGTGATCTGGATGATTGTGTGTCATCATGGTTACAATGTGTGATCTGGATGATGGTGTGTCATCATGGTTATGTACCATGTGTGACCTGGGTGTTTGTGTGTCATCATGGTTACAGTGTGTGACCTGGATGATTGTGTGTCATAGTTACAATGTGTGATCTGGCTGATTGTGTGTCATCATGGTTACAGTGTGTGACCTGGATGATTGTGTGTCATAGTTACAATGTGTGATCTGGCTGATTGTGTGTCATCATGGTTACAGTGTGTGACCTGCTTGTTTGTGTGTCATCATGGTTACAATGTGTGACCTGCTTGTTTGTGTGTCATAGTTACAATGTGTGATCTGGCTGATTATGTGTCACTATGGTTACAATATGTGATCGGGATGATTGTGTGTCATCATGGTTACAGTGTGTGACCTGCTTGTTTGTGTGTCATCATGGTTACAATGTGTGACCTACTTGTTTGTGTGTCATAGTTACAATGTGTGATCTGGCTGATTGTGTGTCATCATGGTTACAGTGTGTGACCTGCTTGTTTGTGTGTCATCATGGTTACAATATGTAATCTGGCTGATTGTGTCATCATGGTTACAATGTGTGATCTGGGTGTTTGTGTGTAACCATGGTTACAATGTGTGCCTTTGGTAACGTTATGTCATCTTGTTCTAACTCTGTTTAATGTTTTCATGAACATGCTTATTACAAAGGTAGTTTTGAAATAGCTATAACTACTGATTGTGTTCATCTATATGCTGTTCAAAATGCTGTTTTGTTTGTGCAGGTTTGGTTGTTGCGACATCAGATGAAAAGAAACATGAACTCCTGGAGTTGTCCCTCCCTGCCCAGATCTGTGTGCAGGAAGACAGTGCTGTGGGTATAGTCCGATGTTGTCATTAGTCTCGAGCTGATTACAACATTGTTCAGTGTCTGACTGATATGTGTGGCTTTTAATTAAGAAATACAGTTCGCTCTACCACCATGTATAGTGTAATAAATCACACTTTCGCCCCGACCGAAATATTATAGTTAAAGCACGAGGATGCTTTCCTACTTTAATACTTTCTAAAGATAATTATGATTAATCTAAGGCAGAAAACAAACGACGGTGTCGGTGACCTAAATTAAGAATCCTCGCACAGGGCTAACTGGCGCGCTGTTCTATTGATGAGTCTGGCCCCCTACGTTAAGACGAACGTTACCAGAAAAAATCAAATGATACACAGTTTGATGACGGTTTACGTTCAGATTAATTATCTTTTTAATTTTTAAAATGACATCTGTGATTAACTTAAACCATATGGGGCAATATGAAAGTCGCATTTCTACAACGTAAGTTTAGATCAGTACATACAGATGAAGCTGAGTAGTCAAGCGACATTCCACGATTGCATTGTGGGAATGTAAACATTGCGAACGTTACCGTGTCGCTGAAAACTTGTGAGTCGAATTGAGACATTTTAACCGTCGGAAAACATAAACGTAATGTTTCCATCAGTGATGTTAGCTGCGTGAAGCAACTGCAAACCAAGAAACGGGATGCAACGGAGTAGTTTACTGTAGGAGGCCGTACGAGGCGATGACAACTGACATGCATCGTGACGTCGCTTACATTGTGACGTAATGTAAAATGGTTCGATTACGAGGGGGCAGACTAGAATGGCGCAGTGACGAAAATTCATTGTGATGAAAATGCAAAAAGTGCACATTATCGTCTGATAAAGTACTGTCGGCACCTTTGATCTTTCATCGAAGCATCTTAGAAACATATTTATAGATACCTTAGCTTACACACACACACACACATGCCCAGTACATGTGTACAAATTGATTACCACCTCATCCCCAACCCTCAACCCTCCAGAAAATGTATGATCCTCCCTTAAAATCATCATCACCCCCCTAGCCATAAATTATGAACGGTCCCCTACGTTTCTTCTCCCAGTGCATGCTCTGCTATGTTAAAGGAGGTGTGTAGTCTACACAGGGGTTTACATCATTTATACGGGTATTAAACAGTAATTTAAAGAATATATTAGTAGAAAAGAAACATTACAAAAACTACTTGTGTTCTGGAAACTGCTGAGAATTAATGAGCAGAGTTGTCATCTCCATATCTGACACATTGGAGAGTTGATTTGCAGACAGTCACAGATGATATTTGAAGTAACCATGGGTGTATCTACCTGGACGGTGACAATGATCAAATTTGAAGTAACCATGGAAACATACAGGACCTGACTACCTGGTCCCCAGTCTACCTGGACGTCCAGTAAATCAAGTCTTGCTCAAGTCCTGATTAATGATCCACACCATCGGGACACAACAACAGGCTGTCTGTATGGTCCCAGGACTACTGGTCCCCAGTCTACCTAGATGTCCAATAAATTACAGGGGTAGAGCTCTTTGAAATGTGTTAACTTTGAATATTTCTTCATGCACAGAATGGTTTGACAAAAGACCGCGATTTCCAGTTGGTGAATGGCGGCTTCACAGACAGCTCTATCATATCCCTACATCACCTGGGACAGTCAGTGGACACTGGACAGGACTATAGGTCAGTCTACAGCCATGTATCTAGAAGCAGCATTAACAATGGTCAATTACAGTGAACATCTTCCACAAATCATGCTAATGATATAATTCTAGATGTAGATTTTAAAAATACTGTTGAATTTCAGGGGCGGCATTATGTCATTCATCTCAATGCTATATCAGAGTAAACACAATCGGATGGACCCTCTATAGAGGGTAACCCGTTCACCGGTCAGTTTTATTTCGGCGTCTGGGGCGGTGGGGTAGCTTAGTGGTTAAAGCATTTGCTCGTCCGCCAGAGGCCCGGGTTCGATTCCCCACATGGGTACAATGTGTGAAGCCCATTTATGGTGTCCCCCGCCATGATATTACTGGAACATAGCTAAAAGCGGCGTAAAAAAACCCCAACTCACTCACTCACTGTTGAATTTCATGTATGTTGGCCTTCAAAAGAACAACATTTGTTTCATGTCTTCTTTTTATCCAGTTATGTCCATATCCATCTGACTGTCTGTCTGTCTGTCTGCTATCTTTCTTTTTTTGAGCATAACTAAAAAAATATTCAATATTTTTCAACAAAAATTGGTAGATATATCGAACAGACCCTAAAGTGGTGCCTTTTTCTATTTGTGGATATTTGGCATTTTTAGTTTTATCGATTTCCACGTTATTGTTTAAATAGCTTAGTAACTACTCTTGTATACAGGCGGACAGATTAGACAGAAATTCTCTCATCAAGTTGGACTTGAAGTAACTATCAGATGATTTTTTTCGTTGATATTTGTGGGGCCTGATGACTCGTGTTACTATATGCATTTTGGAAGAAAAGTCAATTTAGACCCATCTCAATGGATTAGCACAAGGACGATATAAAGTTACCCTGATCATTTGCTGTTTTACTTGAATTTGAATTTGTTTGCATTACGATGGGTGTATGTGATTCAGGAAAGTGTTGGCCTGTGTCAGGGGAGACAACTCTGTAGAAACCTGGCAGCTTGGATCAGAAGATGGAAGTAAGTTGTTTATAAGAAAGAACATGAAATGTAAACTAGCAAATATACCATGTCAACAGTTTCATATTTATTTTGTGTAATCAGCTGATTGTATGTCAGCTTCAGTTACCCTTGTAAGCTTCCAATGAGCCTTATTGTAAAACCGGTATCAACATAAAACATTGTCTCTCCTGTGAATGATGTAAGTTGGTTATTATCATACTCTCCTCTAGTGTTGGGAATTGGTTAAAATCCCATTATTGATGATTGGTTCATTACAATCGATCAATCATCGAAAATAATTGGTTAGCGTCATTTATGAAATTTTCCTGGTTATTTTTGTTCGAGCAAAAACAAAAAGAATAAAACATGTAGTTCTTTGATTTTCTTTTTGCAAATTGCACATTTTTTAAAGGATGACTAGTATGTTAGAAACATTAATTTCTTGGAGTCTTTAAGATAAATTCAATAATGACTTGGAACAAGCTTGAAGTGCTTATGAAGTGTAACAGACAAAACCAACCTTGTGAAAAATATTGTTAATGCAAAACGTTTTCAAGAATTGTTTGTGTTCAATTATGAGAAAACATGATCAATTGCTTGGTCGTTTAGTCACTGCGACCAATCTTCGATTATTTCAATTAATCGAACCACCACTACTCTCCTCCCCATATTGGCTCTAACAACAACAATCTGTTTTCATGAAATCTGCTCAGATAATTCTTCCAGGTCCCATGAGGAAACTGCAAGCCTTCTGTCTTAGTGAAGTAATAAACCTTTAGTCTGACTGATGCATAGCAGTAGCAAGCACTACTCTGATTGTGTTCGGACCTTCATTTGTCAGTGTGAAGCAGTGTACGAAATAGCCCGTGGCTAGTAAAAATCCAGTCGAGGCCAGTAAATCTCCTCAGTCACTGGTCCGACTGGCTAGTGAAATTTCATAGGGTCATTTTGTAAATATCTCACTCTCTCTGACTTGATAAGATATAATACTCTTTTAAATCATGCACGATTATGGCCTGATAAAAATGTTAGCAGCTTAATGATGAAACCTGTGTTCACACTCGAATTTCGGGCTAGTGAATTATTTTGTGGGCTAGTAACTTTCAGGCATAGCTAGCCCGACTGGCTAGCAAAATTTGGAAACTATTTCGCACACTGGTGTGAAGTTGCATCACTGTGTTTTACTGGCCTGATGTATGAGATGTCTCTACACATTCAAACCTAAATTTCTAAACTTATCCTATCTCACGACTTGCACCTAGCTCTCTTGCTTCAACTTTTAGTGGAACAACTGTAAACTTTTTTCCATAGGCCTCCTTGTTCATTTGCCCGTGCACTCCATGCTGCTCTCCGTAATTAGCTTCCTAGTTCATAATAAAGCTTGCAGCATGCTCCACTAATTGCCCACGTGACTACCTTGAATGATCATTCTCTTTCATGTCGCATGACTTTGTGGACGTGCTGTATATTAGGGACATTATTTCACCCTAACATCATGGGGAAAACTCATAATCAGTCAAGGAAAAGGAAAGTTTGTGCTCAATGCAAGACGAATTATTCGTCCCTTGACCCTCACTTGTCTTGCAGTGACTGTATTGGACAATGTAACTGGAACAAACGATGTGGCAAGTGTAATTCACTAAAAGATGAGGATTTTAAGGCCTACCTTCGTGTTTGCTCCCGGAGAATCGCCGATAGGGACAGGAAATTAACAGAATCTGATCCCACTCCTGCCAAGCGTATCAAGTTACAGCGACAGAAAATCGTACCTTCACGCAAGAGAGCAACGTCTGTGGTTCAAGAGGATGTTATGGACGCTTCATCAGATTCTTACTTATCTGAGGACGTTCGGCACCTATTACATACGCATCAATCACCTCCTTCCATAGCGTCAGATCACTCACAGGTGGTTGTGATCAACAATTCTTTGTTGCCTGTCCCATCTACACTACCAGGGGACCTTAGATCGACACTATCATCATCCAGATCATCGGTACATATCCCCTCGACTGTCTCAGTTTGTTTGGAGCCTGGCCAACCGCGTTCAACCAGCCAACTGTCTCCCCAAAGTTCGTTGAACCGGCTACAACAGCGTCACCGGGGGACTTTCATCATGAATCAACACTTCAGGTTTCGTCACCTAATCGCCCGATCGATCCGATCACCACATCACCCTAATCGCCCGATCCCGATCACCACATCATTCTAGATCACCACAACGATCTAGATCACCTTCACAATCCAGATCACCATCACAAGCCCGATCTAGATCACCGGATGGATCCAGAGCACAACTACGATCCACATCACCTGATCAATCCAGATCACCTAACCGATCCAGATCACCAAACGGGTCCAGATCACAACTTCGAATCAGATCACCGAACCGATCCAGATCACAACGTCGAAGTAGATCATCGGACTAATCCAGATCACCTAATCGATCCAGATCACCGAATGGATCCAGATCACAACTTCGAATCAGATCACCGGACCGATCCAGATCACCGAATGGATCCAGATCACAACTTCGAATCAGATCACCGGACCAATCTAGGTCACCTACCCGATCCAGATGACAACATCGAAGTAGATCGCCAGACCGATCCAGATCACTGAACCGATCCATATCACAACATCAAAGTAGATCACCTATCCAATCCAGATCACCAAATCAAGCCAGATCGCAACTGCAAACCCAGATCACCTGTTCGGTCGAGATCACTTTACAAATCCAGATCATCTTACCAACCCAGGTCACCTATACGATCTAGATCACCTTACAGAGCCATTGATCAATCGGGATCACAGTACAGATCCACTTCTCATGACCGATGCTATTCAGATGGTCGAACCAGAGCTCCAATCAGAACCAGATCACCAAATGGAACTACAGCGACCCGGACTAGTTCTTCATATCATACCAGATCACCTAGCCATACTAGGGAATCCAGATCACCGGCTTACCAACCTACTTCGGTACTTGCCACGTCGAGATCTCGATACAGTTCCTCTGACCGACGTTCGGGTGATCATTGCTCTGATACCACTAATAGGCCTACAGTCTCTTACGATGTTCCGTCTACATGCTCTGAGAATCCTTCGACTCACTCTAGAATCATCGCTGAGTCATGGGAACCTGATAACAATTCCACTCCTACAGCGACTCCGGATCTAAATATGATGATCAGGGCCATAACCTCAGCCTGGAACCAAATACAGCCGTCTACTCCAGCCCATCCGGCTTCGGTAGCTCCTGGCTCTTCATCTGGTCCACCTCCTGAGATTGATCCAGTCCAAATAGCCAGGCCTGCATCTCCCGCTCACTCTGAGTTATCGACCCCTGGGGGTAGCTTTGCAGCAGTTGAGACACCTCAGGTACTCCTTTGGATTGTTGAGGAGCTCCAACTTCCCTTGAGTACTTCAGCAGATGACCTGGATCACTCTTATACTCTTAGGAACCGATATTGGTCTACCATCACCCTACCACCTCGACCTTGTATTCTGAAATTATCCAGTACACTAAATGATGGTTTCAAGAGCCTGAAACGAATTAAGACGGATTCTCTGCTCCCAGATATAATCCTTCTACCTCTCATGTCCACGGCCTAACAAAAATCTCTACGGCTCCAACAGTTGATGAGGATATTGGAACCCTGTGTGGCAAACGAGCTGCTTCGCCCTACCTTATTGAGGACCGAGAGTTGGCTCACATGGATTCAGCCGTGAGAAAGACATTGCCATCTATTAGTTGCGTGATTGCAACAGTCGACGCTGTTAACACTGCTCTGGAGCATACTTACTCTGATCAAGACGCTAACATCAGAGGATGCATGACTTTAGCTATGGACCAGTTTGAAATTATCCTGGATCAGTTGTCTCATTTTGTGGGCTACACTCTTGCTGTTCGCCGACGTGGACCCCTAACATCTCTTCATGGGAGGAGCGATTTTAAACAGAACTGTTTCGCCAGCCTTGGTTTACTGACTCCCTCTTCAATGGTAGCATCCAAGAAGTATCTAATAAAGTTGATAAAGAAACCCACTTTCAAGTCTCGATTGAACTGTTAAAGATACAGAAGTCACAGCTCCAGGACTCATTAAAACAGCGTCGAACTGCACAGTTCCCCCCTACCGTTCCAGATTTACACATTCTTTTTCGTGGCCCATCCACTCAAGGCCGTGGCAGAGGAAACAGATCTGGCCATGGTGGTTCCTCCCATCGCACCCCCAGGACCAACTCTGGCCCAGGGACCAGCGCCGGGAAGCAGTGGCGGCTTGAGACAATCGCACAATTGGGACCTCCCGCCCCCAGTCGTCCGATTTACAACACTCCGGTAGGCGGGAGATTGCAGATCTTCGCCCCGAAGTGGACCATCCTCAAAGATCCGTACGTCACCAACCTGCTACTTCATGGCCATCAGATACCCGTTATTGGCAGTCCACCTCTGACGTCGCATCCGGCTCATCGCTCATATCCTGTGGACCAGCTTCAGACTCTGCAATCCACAATAGGTACGCTATTAGACAAACTCTCGATAGAGCTCCTAGGTCCATCGCCTGTCACTCCAGGATTCTACTCCCCCATCTTCTTGGTTCCAAAGAAAAATTCCAACGAACTCCGGCTCATCTTCAATATGAAGTTGTTCAATGCCCAATTCCTGCTTCCACCGCCTCTCTTCAGGATGGTGTCGATCAACCTTTTACGCACCATCCTGAAGAAGGGAGACTTCCTCATCAGCCTAGATCTTCAGGATGCTTATCTTCACGTTCCGATACATCCAGAACACCGGAAGTACCTTCGCCTCGTGTTCAATGGGAATCACTACCAATGGAAAGTCCTGCCATTTGGAATTTCCACGGCCCCTTGGCTTTTTACCCTAATTACCAAGCTTCCTCCACTTTCAAGGGATCACCTTCGAAAGCTACATAGACGATTGCATCCAGGCTCAACAGGATCCGATCGTATTGCTTCGCCAGCTACAGTTCACCACCACGCTGCTCAGACAATTAGGGTGGCTGTTGAACATCGCGAAATCGGAACTAATACCGACTGAGAAACTCCAGTTCATCGGAGGTGAGGTGAGGGCTAGCCACAGCTATCACTTCAGCGCATCGTACTTCGACCTGTTCCTTGTACGACAACAAGTGGAAGAAGTTTGAAGACTATTGCAAGCTTAGGGGAATTGCATCTCCCACTTCCACCTCGGCTCAGGTCGTTGCTGAGTTTCTCCAACATCTCCGCACTACTAAGAAACTCAAGGGTACTACGTTAGCTACCTACTCCCTGGGAGTCGTTGTGCATAGTAAGCCAAGGGGTTCCGGAGAACCCACTACAAGCATAGGAGTTGCGTGCATGAGTAACAGGCCTCCCTTGTACATCGCTATCTACGGTTGTCATCAGTCCACACAGCTCCAAGACCAGCTGTTCGCACTGTCCAGACAGAAGGGTAATCTGCGGCCCGCCGTCCAACCGTGGGATAAGTGCAAGTCGTGAGATAGAATAAGATTAACAATTGTTAGGGTGAAATAATATCCCTAATATACAGCACGTCCACACAGTCATGCGACAAGAAAGAGAATGATCATTCAAGGTAGTCACGTGGGCAATTAGTGGAGCATGCTGCAAGCTTTATTATGAACTAGGAAGCTAATTAAGGAGAGCAGCATGGAGTGCACGGGCAAATGAACAAGGAGGCCTATGGAAAAAAGTTTACAGTCATTCCACTAAAAGTCAAAGCAAGAGAGCTAGGTGCAAGTCGTGAGATAGGATAAGTTTAAAAATTTAGGTTTGAATGTGTAGAGACATCTCATACATCAGGCCAGTAAAACACAGTGATGCAACTTCACACCAGTGTGGGAAATAGTTTCCAAATTTTGCTAGCCAGTCGGGCTAGCTATGCCTGAAAGTTACTAGCCCACAAAATAATTCACTAGCCCGAAATTCGAGTGTGAACACAGGTTTCATCATTAAACTGCTAACATTTTTATCAGGCCATAATCGTGCATCATTTAAAAGAGTATTATATCTTAACAAGTCAGAGAGAGTGAGATATTTACAAAATGACCCTATGAAATTTCACTAGCCAATCGGACCAGTGACTGTGGAGATTTACTGGCCCGACTGGATTTTTACTAGCCACGGGCTAGCGGGCCAGTGGCTATTTCGCACACTGCTTCACATTGACACATAAGGTCCGAACACAATCATATAAAAATCAGATCGTAGTGCTTGCTACTGCTATGCATCATTCAGACTAAAGGTTTATTACTTTACTAAGACAGAAGGCTGGCAGTTTCCTCATGAGAGAGAGAGGTGCAAGTCGTGAGATAGGATAAGTATATAAATATACAATTTATATTAAAATTTCCAAACTTGCAATCTTCGTCTGGCATTTGTTACTCTTTAGACAGATTTTGGTTATTTTCTGTTTCAGATCTCATTGAGAAAATAGGTGATTTGTGCAGCAAGAACTCGACATGGTGAGGTTGACTATACCTGAAATCCTGATGCTAAGATAGGGCTTGTGCAAGCTGTGCAGTGAGGAAAATTGAGGGTTCCTAGGAAGCAAATATCTTTTGATAAATTGTTGCTTAGGTTTTCTTTAACCATATGTAACATTTATATACAATGTGTTATCTCCCCAGTTGGATGGTCAGACAAGGGGAGATAAGTACTTATCTCCCCTTGTCCAGCCCTCCTGCATTAAAGGTTACACAAAGGCGTCAGTAGTAATGTTATATATTTTTTTTAATTAAGTAAGCTATCAACAGCAATTACATGTACATGTGGGCATAGTCTGGCCTTAAAGAAGCAATGAAAGTATATAAGATGACCACCTCAGCCAGCTCCTTTTCCGAGTACAGGAAGCTAAACAGACCAACCCCAGCTCCGCACAAAATGTCAACCGCTCAAATAACTGGTCACATTCAGTATAGTCATCATGTAAACAAAACTAGTGCTAAATATGAAAAAATATGGTCACTTTTAATTGTGTGATTTATGGTTAATTATATACAGTAATTATCTCCCCTTGTCGAGCCACCAAGCACTTGTCTGTGATATGTGTTGAATTATATACAGTACTTATCTCCCCTTTTTCAGCCATTCAGCAAAGTTGTGTGTTTTGGATGCCCACCGATTGATGTTTGGCTCCCATCTGTCCAGCATCTCTGTAGGTGACATCAACACACAGCAAACAGTGGCCGACACACGAGGTTAGTTTCAAACACACTTTCAATGTTATAATTATTTACTTTTCTTTTGGAAATGCATTCTGCTGATAATGAACAGTGAAACCTGCCAACACCGTCACCTGTCTGATCCGGCACACTCTCCCAACCGGCATAAAATTTCTGTCCCTGAATTTTAGAACGATATTATGATCATTAAAACATTGTCTAATCTGGCACCTGTCTATTCTGTATTCCGGCACGACTTTCCGGTCCCAACAAGCAATTTTAACTGTAATTAACACTGTCTAAACCGGCATGGGTATGAGCATCCGGTAAGACTTCCGCCCGTATCCCCCCGTCAATTTCATTCTAGTCAAATCATATCACCTGAATATATACTCCTCATCTGATAAGGATGAGTTTTAACATGATTCTTTAATTGTATCTGAACATACTGAAAGAAATATCCAACTTCTAAAAATGCCACACAAAGAAACGTTTCCTCATCGTTCAAATTTAGGGGGATACGGGCGGAAGTCTTACAGAGCATCAAGATCTGGGTTAGAATTAATCTTCAGTAACCCATGCTTGTCGAAAGAGGTGACTTACGGGATCGGGTGGTCAGGCTTGCTGACATGTTTGACACGTCATTGTATCCCAATTGTGTATATTGATACTCATGCTGTTGATCACTAGATTGTCTGGTCCAGACTCGAATATTTACTGAACGCTGCCATATAGCTGGAATATTGCTGAGTGTGGCGATAAACTAAACTCACTCACTCATATTCTCGAAAAGTAACATGAAAAGTTTGATCTTTTATCTTCAGATTGTCAGCAAGACATTATGATTTCAAACATGCTTCTATACGACACCTGTGTGTTGACTTCGGGTCTTGTGTCTGGGGAACTGTTCCTTCTAGACCCTCGATCACGTAACATAACAGTGGAGCAGGTGACCAACACTTGTTCCAGCAGGGAGACGTGGACGCTGTGTGGAGACAAGTCACAGACTGTGGTGTTGCAGATGTGTAGTAGTGGTGACATTCATGTTCGGGACTGCAGGAACTTGAAGCATTGTGTGAACAGTGTACAGACAAAACTCCAGCAAGCTGAACCAGGGGAGATAACTCTCAGTGTAAGTGCCATGTTGAAGTTGAAGATAGTCAATTAGTGATGCTAAGAGACTGGCAGACCTTTAGGGTTTGCTGGTGAGACCACACAGTGCTGGTCATGTTCCTGGAGGACAGAAGGGAGTGGTATCAAACCTCTGTCTGGTCCTCTCACACCACTTGTAATGTTCTTGTAGCAATCCTGATCCAGACTAGATGATGGGCCACAATATCTTCCTTATCTCCTGTGTATATCCTGTGTAAACTTATCTCCTGTGTATATCCTGTGTAAACTGTCCTTATCTCCTGTGTAAACCATCCTTATCTCCTGTGTAAACCATCCTTATCTCCTGTGTAAACTGTCCTTATGTCCTGTGTAAACTGTCATTATCTCCTGTGTAAACTGGGGCGGTGGGGTAGTCTAGTGGTTAAAGTGTTGGCTCGTCACGCCGAAGACCCGGGTTCGAATCCCCACATGGGTACAATGAGTGAAGCCCATTTCTGGTGTCCCCCGCCGTGATATTGCTGGAATATTGCTAAAAGCGGCGTAAAACCATACTCAGTCAGTCAGTCAGTCCTGTGTAAACTGTCCTTATCTCCTGTGTATATCCTGTGTAAACTGTCCTTATATCCTGTGTTAACTGTCCTTATCTCCTGTGTAAACTGTCGTGGCGGTGGGGTAGCCTAGTGGTTAAAGCGTTCACTCGTCACGCCGAAGGCCCGGGTTCGATTCCCAACATGGGTACAATTTGTGAAGCCGATTTCTGGTGTCCCCCTCTGTGATATTGCTATAATATATTGCTAAAAACGGCGTAAAACCATACTCAGTCAGTCAGTCAGTCAGTGTAAACTGTCCTTATCTCCTGTGTAAACTGTCCTTATCTCCTGTGTATATCCTGTGTAAACTGTCCTTATCTCCTGTGTAAACTGTCCTTATATACTGTGTAAACCGTCCTTATCTCATGTGTTAACCGTCCTTATCTCCTGTGTAAACTGTCCTTATCTCCTGTGTAAACTGTCCTTATATCCTGTGTAAACTGTCCTTATCTCCTGTGTAAACCGTCCTTATCTCCTGTGTAAGCTGTCCTTATCTCCTGTGTAAACTGTCCTTATCTCCTGTGTAAACTGTCCTTATCTCCTGTGTAAACTGTCCTTATGTCCTGTGTAAACTGTCCTTATCTACTGTGTAAACCGTCCTTATCTCCTGTGTAAACCGTCCTTATCTCCTGTGTAAACTGTCCTTATCTCCTGTGTAAACTGTCCTTATATACTGTGTAAACCGTCCTTATCTCATGTGTTAACCGTCCTTATCTCCTGTGTAAACCATCCTTATATCCTGTGTAAACTGTCCTTATCTCCTGTGTATAGTGTCCTTATCTCCTGTGTAAACCATCCTTATCTCCTGTGTAAACCATCCTTATCTCCTGTGTAAACCGTCCCTATCTCCTGTGTAAACCGTCCCTATCTCCAGTGTAAACTGTCCTTATCTCCTGTGTATATCCTGTGTAAACTGTCCATATATCCTGTGTAAACCATCCTTATCTCCTGTGTAAAGTGTCCTTATCTCCTGTGTAAACCGTCCTTATCTCCTGTGTAAACCATCCTTATATCCTGTGTAAACTGCCCTTATCTCCTGTGTAAACCATCCTTATCTCCTGTGCAAACCGTCCCTATCTCCTGTGTAAACTGTCCTAAACTGTCCTTATCTCCTGTGTAAACCGTCCTTATCTCCTGTGTAAACCGTCCTAAACTGGGTAAAGCCATCCTTATCTCCTGTGTAAACCATCCTTATCTCCTGTACAAACTGTCCCTATCTCCTGTGTAAACCTGTGTAAATCATCCTTATCTCCTGTGTAAAACCGTCCTTATCTCCTGTGTAAAGTGTCCTTATCTCCTGTGTTATCCGTCCTTATCTCCTGTGTAAAACGGTCTCCTGTGTAAACTGTCCTTATCTCCTGTGTAAACCATCCTTATCTCCTAAACTGTCCCTATCTCCTGTGTGTAAACCATCCTTATCTCCTGTGTAAACTGTCCCTATCTCCTGTGTAAACCGTCCTTATCTATCTGTGTAAACCATCCTTATCTCCTGTGTAAAACTGTCCTTATCTCCTGTGTAAACCGTCCTTATCTCCTGTGTAAATCCGTCCTTATCTCCTGTGTAAAACCTCCTTATCTCCCTGTGTAAATCCGTCCTTATCTCCTGTCCTTATCTCCTGTGTAAACTGTCCTTATCTCCTGTGTAAACCTGTGTAAACCATCCTTATCTCCTTATCTCCTGTGTGTAATCCATCCTTATCTCCTGTGTAAACCATCCTTATCTCCTGTGTTATCCGTCCTTATCTCCTGTGTAAACCGTCCTTATCTCCTGTGTAAACCGTCCTTATCTCCTGTGTAAACTGTCCTTATCTCCTGTGTTATCCATCCTTATCTCCTTTGTAAACCGTCCTTATCTCCTGTGTAAACCATCCTTATCTCCTGTGTTATCCGTCCTTATCTCCTGTGTAAACCGTCCTTATCTCCTGTGTTATCCGTCCTTATCTCCTGTGTTATCTGTCCTTATCTCCTGTGTAAACCGTCCTTATCTCCTGTGTAAACCATCCTTATCTCCAGTGTAAACCGTCCTTATCTCCTGTGTAAACCGTCCTTATCTCCTGTGTAAACCGTCCTTATCTCCTGTGTTATCTGTCCTTATCTCCTGTGTAAACCGTCCTTATCTCCTGTGTAAACCGTCCCCTATCTCCTATGTAAACCGTTCCTATCTCCTGTGTAAACTGTCCCTATCTGCTATGTGTAAGCCTCTCCATCTTCTGTCCACAGATATGCCCAACTAATCCAGACTTGGTGGCAGTCACAGGTAAGGATTATTTCACTGCTCTGACTCCCAGATATCAGATATTGAGGATGTTGCTGTGTCTGTGCTTACAGTATAAACCTGTCAATATATCTGATAGATTTATATGTCTTTTGTTACTGTTGTGTTTGGCATGGCTTGCACATACATCCAACTTGCCATATCACCCCTACACTTGCTGAGTGATGCTGACAATACTGGTTGTTGTATTCCAGGTGTTGATGGCTGTGTACAGATCTATGATCGAAGCAAGTGGGGAGATACGGAGGTTGTCACACCAGTCTTTGTTCACCAGGGCCACATCGCTGACAGAGAAGACCAATCACAGGTCATCTTGACATCCCAGCATCTCTGGTACCCATGGAAACAGGGAACATTGTTATCTGCTGCAAGTGATGGCAGTCTTCATATATTTCATCCAATTTTATAAAATGTTATTTTTTATGTTTGATAAAAATATGAACTTTAATCTTGGTTAGTTCTCTTTCTTTGACGATTCATCTTCCATCTCTTTTCCCAGATATCGTCAGCAGGCTGTTATCACTGGGCAGATGTTGTCCCAGTGATGTAGGAATCAGTAGGCAGATGTTGTCCCAGTGATGTAGGAATCAGTAGGCAGATATTGTCACAGTGATGTGAGGAGGGATCAGTAGGCAGATGTTGTCTCAGTGATGAAGGGATCAGTAGGCAGATGTCCCAGAGATGAGGGAGGGATCAGTAGGCAGATGTTGTCCCAGACATGTAGGGATCAGTAGGCAGATGTTGACCCAGGGATGTAGGGATCAGTAGGCAGATGTTGTCCCAGTGATGTAGGAATCAGTAGGCAGATGTTGTCCCAGTGATGTAGGGAGGGATCAGTAGGCAGATCTTGTCCCAGTGATGTAGGGATCAGTAGGCAGATGTCCCAGCCATGTAGGAATCAGAAGGGATGAATCAAGAGGCAGATGTTGTCCCAATGATGTAGGAATAAGTAGGCAGATGTTGTCCCAGTGATGTAAGAATCAGTAGGCAGATCAGTAGGGATGAATCAGTAGGCAGATGTTATACCAGTGATGTAGGGATCAGTAGGCAGGTGTTGTCCAGTGATGTAGGGATCAGTAGGCAGATGTCCAAGTGATGTAGAGATCAGTAGGCAGATGTTATACCAGTGATGTAGGAATAGGTAGGCAGATGTTGTCCCAGTGATGTAAGAATCAGTAGGCAGATGTCCCAGTGATGTAGGGATCAGTAGGGATGAATCAGTAGGCAGATGTTGTACCAGTGATGTAGGGATCAGTAGGCAGATGTTGTCCCAGTGATGTAGGGATCAGTAGGCAGATGTCCCAGTGATGTAGGGATCAGTAGGCAGATGTTATACCAGTGATGTAGGAATAGGTAGGCAGATGTTGTCCCAGTGATGTAAGAATCAGTAGGCAGATGTCCCAGTGATGTAGGGATCAGTAGGGATGAATCAGTAGGCAGATGTTGTACCAGTGATTTAGGGATCAGTAGGCAGGTGTTGTCCCAGTGATGTAGGGATCAGTAGGCAGATGTCCAAGTGATGTAAGGATCAGTAGGCTGATGTCCCAGTAGGCAGATGTCCCAGGTTGTAGGAATCAGTAGGCAGATGTAGTGATGGATCAGTAGACAGATGTTGTACCAGCGATTTAGGCATTGTTGTTCCAAAGCAGAATGAAAATGTCACAAAATTGTAAATAAGTGTTTATTTCAAAATAATTTTGTTATAGCTAAGTATGTTGATGATATGCTATATCTGTGACAGCTAATCTACTACTGACGTTCCAACTGTAATATATTGCACACCTCACCACTCAACTATATAGACCTCAACACCAAGGAAGGGCATCAGAACACTGGGCCTTAGCATCTCCAAGTGGTACATCCAGTGAATATTGGCTGCCTACTGCACAGCATGGAGCTGACGTCCGTAATGGGAATACCTGTTTTGCAATGACATCTTAGCCTTGCCAGAATAAATCATTAACATTTGTGATTCATACATCCTTCTGAAATTTAGAAATGGCAGATGTAATTATTTGACAATGTACCAGAGAGGAAATGAGTATGAATCAATGTTGCTTGTATGTTAAATATCACAGGTAGGACAGGGTTGCTCAATTGGATCATGTAGGGATTCAAACTCCTGGTTTCTGTTGAATGCCTCAACCACTAGGCTAACCTGGCACATGGAGATACTGATGTTGTTCAGGCACAGCTTCCTGACAAGTAATTACTAGAGGACCCAGCTTGGTCATTTCCCATCTCGGGAAAAGAAAAACCGCTTGCCGTGATCTATATATTCTTCAGTATTTAAATCTTTTACATTTTCAGACAAAATATTAGAACAAGTTTGGTGAGGCTGACAACAATATGGATTTGACACCATAATATGAACATGTGACTTCAGTAATATTCAGCTGCTGTAATTGAAAAAAGTATTTTCTCTTTATTTATCAGGATGTCACCTTTGAAGTTTTTAATGTGTCCTACTTAAACCATTTAATGTCTTGCACGTTTATATAATTGAGTATTTCATACAAGTTTCAGCTGATGTATTGAATGCCAAGCACCCAACAGTCCTACACTTGCATACTTCAGTAGATGGTACAGCAGAATAGCACTGGGATATAGAGTGCTCTCCCTTCCCTAGTCTCTAAATGCATGTACTGTTAACATACAATGACTACTGGAACTGCCAAAGTATATGCCATAACTATGTTCAGTATATCAACTAGGAACAGTACATGTCATGTCTATAGTATATCATCTTGAATGGTACAGGGTCATTGTTGACACACCATTATCAAATTCGGAACCAGTAAACTGTGTTTTGTGAGTATTTCTGCCAACCTAATGTTGAAGAAAGTAAGTAAATACATCAGCTCCTAGTATAGCACTGTCTAGACGCCATAACTGCTTCAGGGATGTAACCTCATGTGCAAACAAAATACATTAAGTCATTGGTTGATAGGCAAATTTGAGAAAACCAACCATTTGTAAAAGTTTGGGACGAGTGGACCATGTAACCCATTGTAATCATCAAACCCAGATACAATTAATATTAAGCCAGCACGTAGGCAACAGGGGCGGATAAAGCTTTTTGAGCGGTGTGTGTGTGTGTGTGTGTGTGTGTGTGTGTGTGTTGTTTAACACTCTTGAGAAAGGGGGGTGCACGCTTCATTTACACGAGAGTTTTAATGGTCTTTTAATAAACTTTCAGCACAAAGGAGGGGGGGGGGACCCCTGCATCCCCTCTCTGAATCAGTCTATGGGCTACCCATCCAGTACTCAGTATTTTTAGAGTGGAGATGGTATGGATTGCGCTAAATAAACTTTCGAAATTAAGATGCTCATTTGGTCTGACTGATTCACTGTATTTCTGTTATGAAATGTTGGGTAGGTATAGCTTGGTTGTGTAGGATGGATTACCTCCCTGAAACAGTCATGTGAGTACATGAGAAGCTGCTACAAACATAGATCACAGATTAAGTAACCGTCATACATAAATATCAGCTGCATATTAAAATACCAGCTGCAATAACTGCATATCACAACTAATATTTGACATAATCATAAAAAAATCTTAAAAAACACAACATTGACACAGGGGGTATGTAAAGATAACCGAACTGGTTCCACTTTGTGAAATATACATAAATAGCACCAGGGAGCAGTCTCGATCTGGAAGGCATGTTTGTCTATACTGTGGATCAAATTGAGATTCCAAGTTAAAGGATAGAAAATACCTGTTTCGACTGTAAGTTTTCTCAGTCTAAGTCAAACAAAATAACCTGTCGGTAGATTTTGGCGGAAATCTGAATAACCTTGGAAAGCGAATATTCCGTTTGAGTTGAGTCTGGTTCGGGCATTCTACAATTTGTCTGATGGTTGTTCAAACAGGATTTCATGTTCTCTTTGGGGAAATAAGCCTGCATATTAATCGTACAGCTCTCCTCCTAACAAAAATACATTACCTAGAAAGCCTGCTCGGCCATACCCTTGAGATCATAATATCAGTGGTTTGTACAACAAATGTGCTCTTAAGTAACAGGGATAGCATGGTCATGTGTAAGGAGACCAGTCATCAGAAATAGCACACACTTGTGAGATGATGTCCCAAATAGTTTCATATGGTGGCAGACTCAAGTATTTGTCCTGTGACTCACAGACGTTTGTACCCAATTGTGCAGACACAACTAACTCTTGGGGGAAATGAACTGTGGTCTTAGGCGTGATAAGCAAATGCTTTAACCACTTGCCTACCATACCGGTCAAAAAGATATGAATTCATTTATTCACTATAGCGAATCTCAGGTATAGACATCATTTGTAGAAAGATTAAAGGGTGGGTGGGCCAGTATTTGGCATAAATGAACAACCACTTTAACAACTCTCTCAACCCACACATTTTCGGAGGTGGGCAAGTAGCTGGGTCAATGCCCGTGATACAACTGTAGGAAATGAGTACAGGCTTAACCCACATTCAATGGGCTTCAATCTTCCCATTTCCAAGTATATGCACAAAGATAGTTTTGAACCATATTTGATGTTATAAGCCCACAGCAGGGGTATACGTTCTCCTAGCGACAGATCTCTCATTGGGCATGGTGTGGTTTGGCAGGGCTCAGTATAACACATCCCTCGGGGATGGGGGTTTGGAGAAGTTGCTGGTCACACTTCCATCACGCTGCAGCCTGTACAACTCGTCCTTATTTCTGGCCAGGAGGATTGTGTAGGGGCTCCCTGTGACGTGATGTCCAGACCACTGGACGTAGATGGTGTAGATTCCAGGCTCCACTGGGTTGTAGAATGCCTGGTACAGCTTGTCCTTCTGGCTGGCCTTCCGCATCTTCACGTGGAAAGCACCTGCACAAAGAGGATGGAGTGAATTTGTATGGCGGTTGTTACCTGGGCTACTGATGCTTGGTAATACACCAACTGTATGAGATAGTTGAGACAGATTATTATTGAAACTCAGACAAAATGTTAGGGTTTAATACTGACGTTCAGCATAACAAATCCAAACCAAACAGTGTGTGCCAACCACCTATGTTTTGCAATACTCACATCCTGGGCCATGTTTCCAGTGATGTTTGAGATGTAATGTATGTGTGATTTGGGTTAAATGGTCTTGGAGCTACATTGGCATTGTCAATACAAGACTAGTTCGAGTGTCCCATTGATGTCATGCCTATGTCTGTCACTGCTCACTCTTACATTACAAGACTAGTTCGAGTGTCCCATTGATGTCATGCCTATGCCTGTCACTGCTCACTCTTACATTACAAGACTAGTTCGAGTGTCCCATTGATGTCATGCTATGTCTGTCACTGATCACTCTTACATTACAAGAGTCCCATTGGCCTGGATACTCAATCGTTGTACCCACCTTTCGGCCCCATGATTCGGACTCTCAGTTCGCCGGCCCCGGCTCCTGTCGTGTCCACCCAGAAGTGGGAGCGGAAGTCGTTCATCAGACCCGGACCCTCCAGCCCAGGACCCCACACCTTCACATCCCCCAGCGTGGTGCTCGCTCGGATGTCGATAGCATAGGGACTGCCTGTAGGTGAACACAAACACGATCAACTGATACTATCTACTCATGAACCAAAACAAATGCAGACTTTTTTGGAAGTACGAGTTTCTGACCCAGATGAGTCTACGTACCCATGACATGTTCGTTGTCGTACTTGATCTCCACAATGTGCCTTCCTGTTGTGTTAGGTGTCACCTTTACCCTCCTGGTACCGTCAAAGTTGTCGATCAGCTTGCATGGGACTGGCTCCTTGCGTGGCCCTGTGCACTTGACAGTCAGCTCGCCTGTATGGAATAACACAGGGACTACTGTTCAAAGTACATGCCAATATCAGAAACGTTTAAAAAATGTAGCAAACGAATGATGAAATGATAATCGCCAGTTCACGAAGACATGCATCACTCTGGGCTCAGCTGCCACAATAATTAAATGCTACAACGAGGTGGAGTCTATTCTGTGTTTGGCTACATGGTGCAGTAAGCCAGTACTGGACACTCTTCGCGGCTTTAATGGGTTTTCCTTAGCAACTGTTCATCATTGTCTAGCACCTGGAGCTTGCAGACCATAGGTCTATGGCAATCAAGCTGTTCCTCTCTCTGTATTAAAGAGAATCTGTGCCCCACTGACTAGTGATTATTCCGATTTAGACACGAACGTTGTAACAAGTGTAACATGCGTAAATATTGTCCCTGTAGAAGTACGGTAACTTCAACCAAGGGGACTTTGAATTACGAGCATCAGCTTTTCTAGTTGTGATTTCCTGGATAACTTATATTCCACCATCAGATATAGTAATTAACCTTTATCTCATTTGTAAACATCCATTTGATGCAGCGTTCGAACCCGAAGCCAACTGAAAACCATTCAGACCAACAGCTTTGGTTTTCTGCATTTCCTTATGGCCGACAGCTTTCTCATCCCCAATAACTAAGATTTCCATATTAAAATTTAAGGCCTATGTCACATTCTGATCAGGACCCACAACTTTTTATGGTTCTGGGTCCTTAGGGCCTGCAGCTCTACAGGGTTATGGACAAACACTGGTTTGATGCATAGATTTATACAATAGCTGATACAGTAAGTTAGAGGACCAGACGCAGCTGTACTTTGCCAACTAGGCAGGACCCTGTGTAGTGCGAGTGCAGTAACCAGACGTACCTGGACCAGCTTCCCGAGGGTCAATCCTAAGATCCAGATCCTTCCCCAAGATTCCACCCTTTGCCCAGTCACCAGTCAGGGCTACCCGTTTAGGCTGTGGTGGACTGCGGACATTCACCCTGAAAGGTGATCCTTTGAGCGGATGGTCATTCCACTTGAGTTTCAGAAGGTATGCCCCGGGCTCTCTAGGTGTGTAGTCGCACTTGAACACCCTGGGTCGGACAGACTCAACGTGGACAGGGACACGCTTACCGTTACTGGCCTTGGTTAGGTCTGCATCGGGAATACCTACAAGGTAAAGCTTCGTGTTATTGAACATATAATGCATCTGTATGCAATGTGTGCTGCAAACAAAATATTGTTGCCCCCAAACAACCCGGAATTGTTTTTGTTGTTGTGAACAGCCGAGACCAGGCAATATATGCCAGTGGCCGATGATGTGTGCCACGTGTCATGTCGTCGCGGTACGATGACACGCCCTCATGACTCTGATTCCCAAGGCCAATTCCTCCCTTCAATCTCACAGGGGGCGACTTGTATTTAACAAACCTAGACCTTGGCAGCCAGCGGTAAAGTACTACGAATGTTCCCTGGCCTCCGTGGGACACCAATCAAAGGATTATTCGTAAACCTCTTTACAATTTTTGGGAAAGAAATTATCGGATCTAAACCAAGAATCTAGAAATGACTTGAACATCTTGGTCTGATACTGCCACTCACCATCCCCTGCCTTCGAGCCGTCAATGTAGAATGTAGCTGGTTGATCCACGCTGGCTTCTTTAAGTCCTCGACCACTGAGGACCACCTTGAGCGGCCCCCGATGCTTGGGTGAAGTAGGGACACTCTCCGTGGGTGGGTAGTATTTGATAGCTTCAACAATAGGTGTGGGGACCATCACGGACGAGGGTCGGGACGGTGGGCGGTAGATGGCAGGCTCTGAGCCGTGAATGCTCACTCGATATGGGTCGCCATTCGTGGAGCCTGCGAAAGACGACTTGGGTGATACTGGCTCGGGACGTTTCAGGGGCACCGGCACCAGCCGGACGTTAGGGTAGGGCTCAGGCTCGGGCTCATTCGGTCGGTACGTTGCATAACCCATGTAAGGCGATCTCTGAAGGGGAAAGCCGCCCCACCGAACATGGATGTCATGCTTGCCTGCAACAAAACACAGGCTTGTTAGATGATCTTGAAACAGTAGGGCAATTGACTGGCTGTTATTATATTGGAGCATGAACATAGAGGACCTTCTACCTGTCGTCTTTGTTGTGAAAGTTAACAAAGAAGGTCATGGCTTCTCGAACATCGAGCACCTACATATTGAGTAATAATGATGTATGAAACCAGGGAGACTATATAATGTTGTAGAGTATCCCTGCTGTATGAAACCAGGGAGACTATATAATGTTGTAGAGTATCCCTGCTGTATGAAACCAGGGAGACTATATACTGTTGTAGAGTATCCCTGCTGTATGAAACCAGGGAGACTATATAATGTTGTAGAGTATCCCTGATGTATGAAACCAGGGAGACTATATAATGTTGTAGAGTATCCCTGATGTATGAAACCAGGGAGACTATATAATGTTGTAGAGTATCCCTGCTGTATGAAACCAGGGAGACTATATAATGTTGTAGAGTATCCCTGATGTATGAAACCAGGGAGACTATATAATGTTGTAGAGTATCCCTGATGTATGAAACCAGGGAGACTATATAATGTTGTAGAGTATCCCTGATGTATGAAGCTCAGGGAGACTATATAATGAGTATCCCTGATGTATGAAACCAGGGAGACTATATAATGTTGTAGAGTATCCCTGATGTATGAAACCAGGGAGACTATATAATGTTGTAGAGTATCCCTGATGTATTAAACCAGGGAGACTATATAATGTTGAAGAGTATCCCTGCTGTATGAAACCAGGGAGACTATATAATGTTGTAGAGTATCCCTGATGTATGAAACCAGGGAGACTATATAATGTTGTAGAGTATCCCTGATGTATGAAACCAGGGAGACTATATAATGTTGTAGAGTATCCCTGATGTATGAAACCAGGGAGACTATATAATGTTGTAGAGTATCCCTGATGTATGAAACCAGGGAGACTATATAATGTTGTAGAGTATCCCTGATGTATGAAACCAGGGAGACTATATAATGTTGTAGAGTATCCCTGATGAAACGGAAGCATCTATGGTGAGTATGCAACCTACTTTACTGTATTCCTTTCTGCTTCCTGGAATTATGGAAACCAGTTTTATAGAGGCTTTACAACAAATAGTTTCAATAGATGAAATTATAAGATTGGCGATCGCGTAGAATATGATCAGTGAACTTTATCAGTGTCAGCTTTTGTCAGTTTGAAGAAAACTGGACTGGGATGTCGTTAAAAGACAATAAGGACTCATCAATATGTATGTCAGTGGTCTGTAAATAACGGAGTCTGGACCAGAAAGTCCAGTAAATGACACCATGGTCAGGTGCATCTCCGCAACTGGAATGCAGTGACATGCATCAGTCGGAACACCCGATCCCAGTTGTCACCTCTCACGACAAGCATGGGTTGCTGAAGATTAATTAAACCCGGATCTTTACTGATCGATACAAAGGAAGTTGACACAGAGCGTTTTCTCTTCTTGAAATATGGTTATTATCATGATGTAATGAAGCATCAGTCAAAACAGACTCCACCATAGACAGCACAGTAGTCTGTACAGACTGCCTACCTTGCTCCCTTGGGGTGAAGATGACGGTGTTCCTGCCGTCGTTTCTCTGGTCGACGGCTACAGGGATCTTCCCAGACGGTCCCCGGACCTCAGCAGTCAGTTCCCCTGGGGGTAAGACACTCGGATATAGACTGGATATATGTTCACAGCTGGGTATAGTACAAGCCGTATACACTACTATCCCGTTAGTCCAACACATAATGAAGGTGTGGGAACTTCAGCGTAATCCGGACGATTTAGTATCGAGTTATATCGTCCAGATTAGAGGGTATATTGGTATTGCTATTCATAATAATATGGTATGCTATCAAAAAACTGCTGTCAGCTGTACACAGCTGTCAGTTTTATTTATCCGAATAGTACTATTATATAGTAATTCCCCGAAATCTTATTATTAGAAAACTAAATTCTATGATTGTGTTGAAATATTATATTTTAAATCTACAGGTCAGATTACAAATGAATAAAAATAGTGTCTGCTTTCCCGGCATGTTGTACAAGACGTTATCCTTGAGTTACCTGGTCCAGCCTCGGAGGCATCAAACGGAAGTTGCTTCTCCTTATCGACTACCAGTGGGATGACTCCCTTGTCGTCCACGAGGGGGCGCCATCCCCCGGACACACGCACAAGGAAGGGGTCAACCACCATAGGTTTGAACGGGCTTTCTGTAAAACAGTTTCGGATTTGTCAATTAAGAATGGCTACACAGAACCTTTTTGCCACTGAACGGAACTACTTGGCAACACACGCCCATTTTGTGTTTTTTTGCATGTTACCTTCTCTAAATTCAATATGGAAACTGACAATTTATCGTTTTATGGTATACACTGGTTTCCTATTTAAGTCTCCAAGTTTAAAAACATTGTAGGGAAAGGATTGTCATATATTTGTTAGCATCATGTAACCAACAAAAAACATCAAGTCATATTAAAACACAGATTTAGAAGGAAGGCCCGCACAGACTGACCTTCAATGTCTTTGCCGTCGACCCTGACATTGATCAGATGTTTGCCCTTCTCAGCCGGCGTGTAGTGCACCCTCAGAGTGTTGTCTGGCTGAGGTTCAATCATGCTCTTGATGGGGTAGGTGGGACCTGAAGTGTCATGTCAAAGTTAATCAGAAATGTTAGTTCTGCAGCAATTCTCCTAACATGAACAGGAACTTTGGTAATCCACACTGCAGGACACGCCGAAGTAGTGAGTGAGTGAGATTAGTTTTACGCTGCTTTTAGCAATATTACAGTAAGATCATGGCGGGGGACACCAGAAATGTGCTTCACACATCAAACCCGGGTCTTCTGCGTGACGAGTCAACGCTTTAATCACTGGGCTATCCCACCGCCCCACACGCCGAAGTAAAACTGACCGGAGAACCGGTTAACCTATATAGAGGGACCATCCGGTTGTGTTTACTCTAATATCGTATAGAGATGAATGAAGTAATGTTAGTACGATTTATTCTAATGAATATTTAAAAAAAAATTGTTTTTCTACTTGTTTATATGTTTCATGTTGGCAGGTGAATAACTTGATCATGATTTCTCACTGATTCTAAAAGGATATTTCCGACATTTCATCCTAAAATCACCGACCTATTTCTAGCAAGGCACGGTTCAACCGACTGCCTACCATGAACGTTAACCGACACGTTGCCGGGGAAGCCGCGAGGGTCGACAATGAAGGTGGCGGGTCTGTCCACGATGGCTCGCTCCAGCCCCTCCCCTGTGGCTACTGGCGACTGCAGCTCGTCTATCTCCTGGATGAAGGGGGAACCTGTCAGGGAGATCACACACGTGCAATATACAAATAACTTGTTTGAGTGGCATTTTAGAAGTTGAGACGTACAATATGGAACAAGTTTTTATGGATAACAACTTCTTTATTTCGTGAGTGCGACGTTTCGATACAGATTCTTCTACCGTTGTCAAGCAAGAGTGATACATGAAGTGGAGGAGCTGCATATTTATACTGTGTATAACAATGAAACTACATACATTGTGATTGACAAAGGAAACAACATAATTACCATAATTGGTTAGGCAGTAAGCTTAACATCTCCTTCATTGTACCACTCCTGTATTTATACATCTCTGGCTTCCATTCACTATCCTTTGTATACTCATCGGCTTCATCAGCTTACTGCTTAACCAATTATGGCAATTATGTTGTTTCCTTTGTCAATCACAGTGTATGTAGTTTCATTGTTATACACAGCATAAATATGCAGCTCCTCCACTTTATGTATCACTCTTGCTTGACAACGGTACAAGAATCTGTATCGAAACGTCGCACTCACGAAATAAAGAAGTTGTTATCCATAAAAGCTTGTTCCATAATATACAAATACATTTTGAGTAATTCCCACAAAGCATTTAATTCTTACTTTAGCATCATGCTGATTCATCAGTCCAAGTCGAATGTTAGCAGCGTCATGTGAAAGTATTGCCCTTAATAGTCACAGAAGGTTGTATAGCCCTTTTAATCATCGCAATATTTTCTCGATGTCTTCAATTTAGAAGAGAATATTCGCAGTTTCTCACGTTAAGTCGAGAGACCAGGAGTAATTGTACAGGAATAACAATTAGCAACTCCCAAATCCCTTGGAAAAGTCCCAAGTCACAACATTAATTCCTATGGGACACTTAATCCTTAGTTGTTTGGAACTCGTTGGTTGTCTTATAAAACATAAGCTGTATTAGCAGAATTGAAGATCGACTTGTCAGACTCTTCAAACTCCGAGTACCTTTCACAGGTTGGCCGTCGAAATGCAGCCAGATCTTGTAGACGCCTGGTCCCTTGGGTTTGAAGGTGACCCTGTATATCCCCGGCTTGTCCTTCTTGACCTTGCCAGGGTACCGCAGACCCTTGTGGGTGACCTCAGCCTCCAGCACACCATCCCCGACCTTCGTACAGTCCGCTGGTAGACGCGGGAAGACAACTCATTATCACCACGTATCAAAACATAGCAATCCACACAAGATATTATATTGCAAGCCCTGTGTCTTGTACTGTAGACGACTGACCAGATTTTAAAGGTGGGTCGGATATGTAGCCTGTCTGTCAGACCCTGAACAACATTATTTTTTCGCCCCCTCCCCCAACCCTTTCTGCAATGCAAAAGCCCTACATAAAACAAGTCTAGATTTCTTCCGAATCTCTGAGCTTACTGGTCATCCATTTTAATTTAAATGGAGTTGTTTGGTTCTCTTTATACTACATATTTTGGGAGATAAAACTTTAGTCTAATCAGATATGTTTCATCACTATGTAGCACGTACGTGTAAAAGAATACCCAGCCGTGACTACCCCAGTGAGTGAGTATAGTTTTACGCCGCATTTAGCAATGTTCCAGCAATATCACGGCGGACGTTGGTGTGTGTGACGAGCGAACGCTATGTCCCCTCGACTATCCTATGAAACAGATACCTTTTGGTGAAAAGGGCAAAATATCTTTAAAGATCATATGAATGAACCACTAAAATGAAGAATGAATAGACGGAACTTCTAACATGACCACGAAAAATCAGTGATGACACCAGATGACAAAAGGTAATCATCTCCTGACCTAATGGTACCACACGTAATTTTAAAAATTTCCTAAAAACATTTATTTTAATTTCGCTGCCATGTGTTGGATTGCGAACATCGCTACTATTCCTGTATGACCAGGTGTTATTGGGTCTGCCTGTGGCTTACCGATGAGTTGTGGGGAGCTGGTGATGGTGCCGTCCTGCATGCCGTACACCTGGATGTCGGAGGAGTCGGTGATGTGGCAGATGAAGGGCCCGCCGGTCATGTAGTCGATCTCCCAGTCGCCTGAACAGTCACCCAAATATGAGTCAGTTACAACCAGTACATCCAAACATTGTCATAGACACACTACATTTGGTTTACTGGGAACAGGGTTTGTTACAAGACAGTCTTGCCTAAGACAATTGGTACTTCTGAACAAATCAGTATAGCTTAGGATCAGGAGTAATGTGTTCAGGTTGGTACTGTGTGAGACACGGAGCTGACGACAATCTAAGACTTAGTACAGGACTAATTCTTGGAATATTTCATGCATAAATTGTTGTTATTGTGATTGCTTTTTAACGCCGCATTCAGCAATATTCAAGCTTGTACTCAATCGAGTCTGAACTAGACACTCGAGTCTGAACTAGACAATCCAGTCTGAACTTAACATTCCAGTCTGAACTAGACAATCCAGTGGGTGACATCATGAGCATCGCTCTGGGGATAAAATGATAATAACAGACCAAGTCAGCGAGTCTGCCCACACGACCCCGTCAATTCCTGATGACCATTTTAACCCGGATCGTCACGGGTACATTGATATTATGCTGACGTCGTATGACGTACTGATTAAACGGCGTTAGACATCATCTTTTATTTAGACGTTTCGTGTTATTCCAGAAGCCTTTAGAATAAAGGTCCCACATTGAGATATATTCAAAACGATAAGAAAGATAAGACTTTTGTTATCATGATAACAATGATATCAATCAAAGTAAATGATGTAATGGTGTCAATATGCTATCGTACATGATGCCTTTATCTTGAATAATCCATTCTCCCGCTCTATAGAGGTGATGAACACGGCCTTTCTCTGCCTCTCCTCGGGGTCGGAGCTGTGGAAGTCCGAGTCTGTAAAACACAACACAACCAGCATAACACTGCAACTCAGTATAACATCCAGGATGATGTTTGGTTGCAATCATTACCTTACTGTTTTGCCTAACTTGTCACAATAGGCACTATCCAGATCTAAACACCATGTGTGTAGCAGGTGTTGTTTCTCGTCTCTTTACATGTACCTATATCTTTATGCTCTGTTGTTGAATTCAGTGTTCATAATTCACCGTTATCAATGTTGTTGGCCGTATATTTGACGGATAAGGTTTTTCCGACACACGGGAATCATGTAGCATCTAAACTATGTGTGTATTGTTTGTACCATATGCCCACTGCTACAAGAAAGGTTTTGGTTAAACACTTCCTCTTTACATTTCCTTTACCAGATTTTAATATCAGCCATAACCATGGTTATAGTGTTCATAGAGCTAAGGTGTAAACGGTCTGCAACTTCCATCGCTTCAATAAACTCTTTACTTTCCCTCTTAATACTCATAATTTATAGATCTCATCCTCTGATCTGATAAAACTGTTTGATTGATGCTGTGCACATCTCTCAGGGAAGGGGGTAATACGTAACCCAGTTTCTTTGATCCCATACTTTATTTTACGTGCAGGGCCAAAGGGAGACAATCGTCTATGGCTCTACCATCCATTGCACATACATGTGAAATATCATCAGTTCGAATCAGACATGTAAATGTTCGTGGGTTTCACAAAGGTGTTAAACATCTGTCATTTTTCTCCAATATCGAGATAAGAAGCCAAAATGTGTACCCACCTCTGACTTCTGCCCTGTTGAACTGGACGTTGATTAAGTAGGGGCCGGCATCGTATGGGCTGTAGGTGACCCTGTACATGCCCTTAGAGGGCTGTGTGATGGCCACGGGCACCTTCCTGCCCTGGTGCTTGATGTCCACCTGCACTTCACCGTCACCAGCCCGCGTACAGTCCACTGGTGACACACAATTACCATATATAGTATATACAATTCTCGTGCATTAGGTCATTTCCATTTGACTTCTTTGATTGGCATTCTATAGTCAATTTGTGCAATATTTATTTTACATAATTTCAGTTGATGGCTCGAATAGTGGGGATAGCGGCCACATTCCGCATTTTCGCTGTCTAAAGAATACTAAAGGAAGGGAGATACAGTACCTTTGAACTCCTGCATTTTGGCCACACCGCCTCCTTTGAGCTCACACACCCGGACCTGAGAGGGGTCACACACGTCAATGGGGCAGCCGTCGATGTGGCGGTTGTTGTAGTAGAGATCGACGCGCCATCGACCTGGGGATTAAAACAGTTTAAATGTAGATCCGCATTCACAGGTACGTATGGCAGGATGATAAATCGTTTTATTTTAAAATGAACAACAGATATTTCGTATCATGTTCTAGATTAAAAACGGGGTTCTACTTTCGATTGTATTGAATGAAATATGTTGTCTTCAAGAAACGTTAGAATGAGTTTCATTTGACGTAAATGTGCTCACAAGTTCTCATAAACGGATTGCGCGAAGTTAACGCAGTATAAAATTTGCAGTATATGTCAATAAATGGAATTGATGAACATGAAAATAACCATTTCCCTGCTGCTAGTTACCAGTTGCATATGTTTATGGATTCCGATATATCATGATTCCTCTCAGTGGTCGTATACCGTTTGGTTCCATAAACATGGTCACGCATGATAGCATTATAACATTATAGTTGTCACGCATGATAGCATTATAACATTATAGTTGTCACGCATGATAGCATTATGACATTATAATGGTCACGTATTGTAGCATTATAACATTATAATGGTCACGCATGATAGCATTATAACATTATAATGGTCACGTATTGTAGCATTATAACATTATAATGGTCGCGCATGATAGCATTATAACATTATAATGGTCACGTATTGTAGCTTTATAACATTATAATGGTCACGCATTATAGCATTATAACATTATAATGGTCACGTATTATAGCATTATAACATTATAATGGTCACGCATTATAGCATTATAACATTATAATGGTCACGCATTATAGCTTTATAACATTATAATGGTCACGCATTATAGCTTTATAACATTATAATGGTCACGCATTATAGCATTATAACATTATAATGGTCACGCATTATAGCTTTATAACATTATAATGGTCACGCATTATAGCTTTATAACATTATAATGGTCACGCATTATAGCTTTATAACATTATAATGGTCACGTATTGTAGCATTATAACATTATAATGGTCACGCATTATAGCATTATAACATTATAATGGTCACGCATTATAGCTTTATAACATTATAATGGTCACGTATTGTAGCATTATAACATTATAATGGTCACGCATTGATAGCATTATAACATTAAAATGGTCACGCATTATAGCTTTATAACATTATAATGGTCACGTATTATAGCATTATAACATTATAATGGTCACGCATGATAGCATTATAACATTATAATGGTCACGTATTGTAGCATTATAACATTATAATGGTCACGCATTATAGCTTCATAACATTATAATGGTCGCGCATTATAGCATTATGACATAATGGCCGCGCATTATAGCATTATAACATTATAATGGTCGCGCATTATAGCCGTTACTGACCGATCTCGGATGGCATGAACTGTGCTGTGTAGTGGCCGTCACCGGTCATCTTGATGATACGCCCACTCGGGGCCTCAGCCTCCACACGGATCTTCTCGGAGTCAAACGGAGGTGACATCTGAACACAGAGGAACCATACGTAAAGTTCCGATCAGTGACAGACTGGTTGATTGAGCTTTATTTTATCTAGAGTATTCCGAGCAATCAAGTATAAACAAATGACGTGAGAGGTCATGGAAGACCTACACTCACAAAGAAGGCATGTACTTAGGCCTTTTCATCAATAGGAACATCACAAATGAAAAAAGGAAACCTTTAGATAGTCGTCCGTTACTCACATTTGACTGAACACTGACAATTTAGATTCATACAGAAAATGAATATATTTGGAAACTTTAGGTACATTTAACTGACGTATAGCCAGTATACACCACGCTGTCTAACTATGGAAGAGACCTGTGAAGATCCGGGTTAGAATTGATCTTCATGTCATCGAATCCCAATTGCATGGATCGATGCTCATGCTGTTGATCACTGGTCTGGCCAAGACTCAGTTATTTACAGACCGCCGCCATATAGCTGGAATATTGCAGAGTGTGGCGTAAAACTAAACTCACTCACTCACTTACTATCTATGGATGACAACTCTTACACGTGGTGAATCTGTCACCCTGACTCAGTAATGTTCAACCACAATCCACTATGAGTAGTGATGCATAAACTGATGCTGTGTGAAAACTGACAGACATTAGTTATGTGTCAGATGCACAAGATGCTTCAGCTTTCCTTTCTTCAAATACCCACAACTCGACATCAGCGATCAGCCAATCGTGAAGGACAGACGTAAACATGGATCAGTGGTCGAGTTACCTTAGAGTCAATGATCACCCCAACAGAGTACGTGTCGAACTTGTACGACTCCATCTGCAGGTCGACTCTGGGCGACATGACGTTGTTGGTGGTGGTGCCAGGAGACTTCACGAGATGGAAGGATGGAGCTTGGGAGCTGATGGTTGGGGCGTGGCTGGAATTGATCTCGTCGTCATACACGGCGACCTGGAACACAAACGTCCAATGGGTATCATGTAGGGATACCGCATGTCGAGATACCGCATGTCGACCTCGCATATAGGGACCGTTCTTATGTGCTTGTGATAGAAGATGTTCGACGGGGAACACACAATATCCCATACATTCCTATATCATATATATATATATATATGCTGCAAAATCCTGACTACCTGCAAATGTAAAGTGTTAGCTTCAAGACACATATCCAGTAATTCTCTCATGCGTACATCAGTGTACACACATTCTGATTAGTAACACTATGGACGTGTTGATTGGAAGAAGTACAGAAAACTAGGTTTAAAACGCACCCGCTTAGAACGAACTAACGGGTATATTATAAAAACCCAACTATTTTGTTTATCACAGCCACATATGATTCACCAAGTCATGGAATGATATCGATTCTAACAAATACTGCTATTCCATGTATTCCATGTACAACACAGTTCCAACTTTAATTCAGTTCTACCTGGTATCTTAAACTAAATATGCAAACGTTTTATTCTCTTTTCAATGTACGTGTTTTGCGCTATCTGATGCAGTCTATTAGCGCTCATGGAGGCGACAACAAGGGAACCTTTTACTACAGCCATCGTTTGTGGGGATGCTTCTAGACGTGTAATATTTATGTAGCGAAGGAATATTTCAAAACGATCTACCTACATCTCAGAAAAGATGCAGTCCTTAGTTTATGAATATAGCAAATAGTATTCACACCAGGTGTTCGCGAAAAGGTGAACACATCTCAGCCCATGTGTGGTACCCGTCCCGCCAACACGCAACTCTTGGCCTAAACACATCCGAGATATATTTTGTCGCTGTACTGGGCGTCTTTAGAAAATATCAGAAACGCTGAAAACCCTCTGGAAACCATGTTTAGAATTAGGTGCTGTTATGTTTGTATTTGCACGTGTAATAAAAGCACATGCAAAGGCAAATGTAGTTTTCAGAATAAAAAACGGGAACATGTGCTGCAAATCAAAATAGTGAATGGACAACATGTGTATCACTGATGCGCCTATTCTGTAAACGTTCTCCACATGTCTACCACAGATATTTAACAAATCTGCTGTATATGCCGTAATCGAAGTACATGTATTTTGCCCCAACCTCCGAATACCAGTTTCCCATAGGTACAATTATTTGAATAATGTTGTTTTTGCTTTAAAAGCATTCGCCTGACACTCCGAAGGCCCGGATTCGATTCCCCACATGTCCCCAGTTTATATGGCGCTGCCATATTGCTGCAAGCGGCATAAAACTAAATTCACCCAGTCCAGGTCGTGTTGTACAGCGTTGTATTCTATCTGGTTTAAATATATTCTACAACCCAGCAATGTCATTATAAGGTAGAGTGGGCATGCTTCAGCAAGCAGGTTGTCTGTGTGAGCAGTATCCACGTCACAAGGAATGCAAAGCAGATAAATGGTCTTACTGGGTAAACCAGACAGGCGACATTTCTCGCCCACAGCGCCTATCACTATATCTAAAATCTGAGCACTTTAACTGACAAGTCACACGTGTTAATTTACAAGGTACAATCCACACTATGCCAGAAGTAAATATAGAATTTAGATATTTACACCCATGGTGTTTATTATGATGCAATCATAACAACTCCTCAAAGAATTTAAAGTATGGTGAATATCAAAACATATTTGAATTTCTAGTCAGTACGTTTTTATAAAGTAACAAAACTCATTTGACATTGTTGTACTTAAGGAAATAGGTGTAATGCTTACACACTGACACGTCAGGCAATAACTAGCTTTCATACAATCTTATAAACGTATATATACAACTAGGAGCCTACCTGACAGGGTTTGCAATATGTAAATGCTTTGTGTAAATCACATTAACATCTGAGTTGCATAGCAACCGGTGCACGCCCTTTGTTACACGAAGGATGACACCTATGTCCTGAGGCAGTTACAAATGTCTTTGTTCCCGTTGCTTGGTAACGATCATATGTCCATCCTGGTAAATGACGTTTCGATTTAATACTAATAAAAAGTCACAAAATACATAAAATTCCCTTTCTTGAATATGAAAAGTCAACGCCAGAGAAGAATTAATCACGGCCATTCGCTAAAACAGATTCCATTTTGCACAGAACACAAACAGACCAACATTGTAGAATTTGTCTTGAGCCATCGTTTACCTTGTTGTCTCGAGTGTGTATCGAGTCATCGTTTACCTTATTGTATCGAGTGTGTATCGAGTCATCGTTTACCTTATTGTCTCGAGTGTGTATCGAGTCATCGTTTACCTTATTGTCTCGAGTGTGTATCGAGTCATCGTTTACCTTATTGTCTCGAGTGTGTATCGAGTCATCGTTTACCTTATTGTCTCGAAACGACACTTTGCGTTTGTGTACATGTTCCTGATGCCTGGTCTCCTGTGTATGGAAGTGTTCCATGCGATGTTCCATGTGGTGTTCTGAATGGCGTTCCGAATGGTGTTCCTCAAGCACCTGGGTTTCCATGTCCATCTCCTCCAACTGGCGGTCAGACTGCCACATTTCAGAACGTGTTTCCGTCATTCTAAGGTCCATATGGTTCTCCGATATGTTCTGCTCCATATGTTTCTCAACATGTTTCTCCATGTTCTTCTCTTTGTGATGTTCCTCCATATGCATCTTCTCCGACTGTACATCCCCCAGAGGCATTCTGAGACGCACACCTCCCTTCATGATTTGTGGACTTCGTAAAGTGATGGTCATACTTGCTGTATAATAGTAACACTCCTTTAAAAGTCTCAAATGAAAATTTCACTGACGGTATCCTTGCACATGCTGGAGACCTACGACATACGTTTCCCTGCTGTAGTTGACACTGTTCACACCTTAAGGTTACAAGTTTATGTAGCAAGACGTTGCCGGTGTCCCTGACGTCATGGAAGCTGATGGACATCCCCGTAACGCAGACAGAAAAATGTGGACGTATGGCATTCATCAATGGTGTTATCTGGTTGGTCGTTGTGCCCGCATGCTTTAGTGTTTGTTTCATCACACAGATAGAGATCATCGATTCGACAATACGCCAGGTCAGGTGAGTACGTCTTATAGCTGAAAGCGTACTGAATTTTCTGAATCATTTTAATTTGACTTTTTATGAAGTAATTCCCGTTACGGATTTTGTCTTCAGATAACGCCTGTAGAATTGGAATAGGCAGGGCAACATGAAGTACCTGCCACATGTTGTAAAGTGTATTTACTCATGCTTATGGTGCCATTGAACATATATGTAATAACAGCCTACTGAAGGTCTAGTCGATGTTCATTGGGAACGAGGGGAGGGTGCTTGAGATTAAGAGGGTGGGGCTTAAACGTCGCATGGGGGAACGGTGGAGTCAGTTAAACAGAATACAAAATAATATACACTCCTAAGACCAATGTCGAGACGCTCCCCCTCATTGATCTACAATAAATGATCAGTCCCTTGATTTAATGGAGGGTTAGCTACTAAAATCCATTTGAACGTGTTTAATGATACCAGTCGCCGGTCGTGGCCAGTTTCCATTACCTAGGTGTATTCATGTTACCGTATAGTGTACAGTGCTTCCTGAGTAGCAAGGGATTTAGGAGCACTAATTCGGATGAGTGGATCCAATATGCTTTAGATAACAGTTACAAAATCATAAATCGACTTTGGCGTTGACGTTTCATATTTCCATGGTTTTTAAAAATAAATAAAAATGTTTCTTTGACACGTGATATAGTTTCCGAATGAACATCTATGCACAAAACATTAATATAAAACATCTTGTACGCACAACACCGAACACATGTAAGTGGCACGTTTTTAAACTTGCTCAGCATATTTCGCTCATATCCTAACGAGTCCATAGAAGCAGCATTCCTAATGGACAAGCATACCGGCAAGGTAAGCCCTGCTGAATAAAGACGTTTAGCTGACTGTGGCAGTTACCTCAGCTCTTCTATTCAAGCCAGACCTCCTTGTATACATAAATACATCGGACTCAATGTCACGCAGTATCAATGCGTGTCACGTGACCTAACAAAACACCTCCGCAACACACAAGTGACCCAATTCATTGGCTTCTTGAAGTCAGAACGTGTCTGTTCAAACACCTCTGTAACAATACTGTCGCCCTAGCGTTTCCTATGATCAGTTTTGGAACAAATAGAGTATAAAAAAGTGCGTGTGAATAAACACGTAAATAGTGTTCATACATATGTGGTTAAAGGGACTTTTCCATTAATCCAACTAGCAAATGAAGGTAAATATGTAGAAACATAGCATTTCATGACTTGAGGGAACAGCTGCACCTAACATGCAATATCCGTTTGTTACTTGGCTCATTTGTTGTTTCTAATTCAGGCTGACTATTGAAACAACATGATCTTAAAAACGGTAGGATGCTTTATGGATGACAATTTCTTTATTATGATATGATGAGACGTTTCGGTGTAGATCCTGATACGGTTGTGATTGAAGCATGTACAAGCAAGTACTGCCATACACAATACTGACTGACTGAGTTTGGTTTTACGCCGCTTTTAGCAATATTCCAGCAATATCACGGCGGGGGACACCAGAAATGGGCTTCACACATTGTGCCCATGTGGGGATTCGAACCCGGGTCTTCGGCGTGACGAGCCAACGCTTTACCCACTAGGCTACCCCACCGTCCCACAATACACAATAGACTTATATACATCTAACACGGTTTTACAACAACAACAACAACAACAAATGATATTGAAAATTGATGCAGAATCAACAGGAGGAAGCCAGCTGTTTATGAGTCGGAACAAAATATAAATGGCTGATAAGATTAATTAGCGATGATAGCCTACGTCACCTTATTACTCATCAACTTCGAAACTGCCAATCAAACATAACACATGGTATATATGAAGATATCGTGGAAGCCATCGAATCGCCACAAACCTGCGATCAAAAGGGATCAAGGGAATTATTTACCATCAGCCTACGAAGAGTGAATCAAACGATAGAATATACGTTCCAGTTAGCATTCAAGCATACAGTAGGTTGCCTTCATGAGCTGTGCTATTTGTTCCTCTAGGTATGTGCTGCTTATTATCATTTAACTTTAGCTACTTTTCAATGTATTCATACTTCTCATCACCTTGCTGTAGTCACATTTAGCTTGATAACAATATAAGAATCTACACCGAAACGTCACTCTATGCAATAGACATGAAGCCATATGCTTCGGTTTTTACTCATCAACCTCTAGAATGCCAACTAAGATCAATATGCATGTGATGAAGATGAAATCATGTGACAGTGCATGGGGTCAAACATCAGCCTATCATCAATACACAAGAGGTAAAGATGAAATCATGTGACAGTGCATGGGTCAAACATCAGCCTATCATCAATACACAAGAGGTAAAGATGAAATCATGTGACAGTGCATGGGGTCAAACATCAGCCTATCATTAATACACAAGAGGTAAAGATGAAATCATGTGACAGTGCATGGGGTCAAACATCAGCCTATCATCAATACACAAGAGGTAAAGATGAAATCATGTGACAGTGCATGGGGACAGTATCATTAATGGGTAAAGAAACATCAGTGCCTATCATCAATCATCAACACAAGAGGTAAAGATGAAATCACGTGACAGTGCATGGGGTCAAACATCAGCCTATCATCAATACACAAGAGGTAAAGATGAAATCATGTGACAGTGCATGGGGTCAAACATCAGCCTATCATCAATACACAAGAGGTAAAGATGAAATCATGTGACAGTGCATGGGGTCAAACATCAGCCTATCATCAATACACAAGAGGTAAAGATGAAATCGTGACAGTGATTGGGTCAAACATCAGCCTATCATGCATGGGGTAAAGATGAAACATCAGCCTATCATCAGCCTATCATTAATACACAAGAGGTAAAGATGAAATCACGTGACAGTGCATGGGGTCAAACATCAGCCTATCATCAATACACAAGAGGTAAAGATGAAATCATGTGACAGTGCTATGGGTAAAACATCAGCCTATCATCAATACACAAGAGGTAAAGATGAAATCATGTGACAGTGCATGGGGTCAAACATCAGCCTATCATTAATACACAAGAGGTAAAGATGAAATCACGTGACAGTGCAATTGGGTCAAACATCAGCCTATCATCAATACACAAGAGGTAAAGATGAAATCATGTGACAGTGCTATGGGTCAAACATCAGCCTATCATCAATACACAAGAGGTAAAGATGAAATCACGTGACAGTGCAATGGGGTCAAACATCAGCCTATCATCAATACACATGAGGTAAAGATGAAATCATGTGACAGTGCTATGGGTAAAACATCAGCCTATCATCAATACACAAGAGGTAAAGATGAAATCATGTGACAGTGCATGGGGTCAAACATCAGCCTATCATTAATACACAAGAGGTAAAGATGAAATCATGTGACAGTGCATGGGGTCAAACATCAGCCTATCATCAATACACAAGAGGTAAAGATGAAATCATGTGACAGTGCATGGGGTCAAACATCAGCCTATCATCAATACACAAGAGGTAAAGATGAAATCATGTGACAGTGCATGGGGTCAAACATCAGCCTATCATCAATACACATGAGGTAAAGATGAAATCATGTGACAGTGCATGGGTCAAACATCAGCCTATCATTAATACACAAGAGGTAAAGATGAAATCATGTGACAGTGCTATGGGTAAAACATCAGCCTATCATCAATACACAAGAGGTAAAGATGAAATCATGTGACAGTGCATGGGGTCAAACATCAGCCTATCATTAATACACAAGAGGTAAAGATGAAATCATGTGACAGTGCATGGGGTCAAACATCAGCCTATCATCAATACACAAGAGGTAAAGATGAAATCATGTGACAGTGCATGGGGTCAAACATCAGCCTATCATCAATACACAAGAGGTAAAGATGAAATCATGTGACAGTGCATGGGGTCAAACATCAGCCTATCATCAATACACAAGAGGTAAAGATGAAATCATGTGACAGTCATGCCTATCATCAATACACAAAAGAGGTAAAACATCAGCCTATCATCAATACACATGAGGTAAAGATGAAATCATGTGACAGTGCATGGGGTCAAACATCAGCCTATCATTAATACACAAGAGGTAAAGATGAAATCACGTGACAGTGCATGGGGTCAAACATCAGCCTATCATCAATACACATGAGGTAAAGATGAAATCATGTGACAGTGCATGGGTCAAACATCAGCCTATCATCAATACACAAGAGGTAAAGATGAAATCATGTGACAGTGCATGGGGTCAAACATCAGCCTATCATTAATACACAAGAGGTAAAGATGAAATCATGTGACAGTGCATGGGGTCAAACATCAGCCTATCATCAATACACAAGAGGTAAAGATCAAATCATGTGCTACTGCATATGGTCAAACGTACCCCGTATACCGCTTTACACCCTTTCCAACCCACACTGCATACAATCTAATTCCTTTAAAGTCTTCTCTCTAGACAAATCATCCTGAAAATGCGAAATATATTAAACCCTCAAAGTCGAATAGATCCCGGGTGACAACACTTGCAACAGTATTGATACACCATATATTTCCAGATATTTCCCCTCTGTAATCAGAAAGTATTCTGCAATGTACCTGTTGTACTCCTCTGCTTTATGGAGTTCTATTCTGCTTACCCTGTTTTGATTAATGTCCATCTTTGTTGACACGTTATATTCTGCGTGATCCGTCTTCTCAAAGCTGTAGTTTCTCCTTTCTGAGACATTGTAATTCCTACTTTCCGAAGCTGAGACATTGTAGCTGCTTCTGTCCACCTTGTTGACGTTGTAGTCGGTTCTGGAGAGGTTGTGATCCGTCTTGGTGACGACCTGAGTGAAAGGAAGGAACTGGGCTGTGTACGCCATGATGCCAAGATGTTCCTGATTTTCCTCTCGGATTTCCTCTGCCGTCAGGAGGGGCTCCACTCCTAAATCTCTCCCTCCTTCTATGCCTGAAGAGCAACGTAGACAATGTCACCACTCTCTTAACAACGTCTCACGACCTAAAAGTATCGTACTTCTATTCGATCAATTATATTCAGTGCACGTCTATCATTATGCAAGTCAGGTGAAAGTAGTTGTCGTACATGTTTCCTTTACAAGGCAGATCTAAAAATACAAAGGGCTATTTACGACTTGGCATTCAATAACGGATCACATTAACGTAACGGGACCACCCGACTGAAAGCAACTATACAACGCCATAATCTGTCGTCAAAAGAAACAGATATTGTTCATAGTGCTAGCACTGTCAAGTTGTGTTAGCGTTAGCTATTAAAAGATATGGGCAGAGAAGCTCACCTTGTTGTAGAGTCTGGATAGACGATCCTCTTAATTCCGGCCACCCAGGGACTGGGCCTCCGGACACCTTGACCAGTTCACACAGGGCTCGACCATCGTGCCAGTCGGTCTGAGGAAGAGATTCGACCTCATCAGAGTCAAAATCGTAAGAAAACATTCCAGCGGACATCGTCCACCACACCTTCAATCCATCATTCTTCGTATACTTTCTTCCCTCAGTTTGTACCCCGTATTATCACTGGTGGGAACACCTTTGTGAAGGCAGGCCTGTTATTCAAATGCAATTTCTCATAAAGGATGACTCAAACCCGGCTAGCTGTCACACACAGTGGTGAAGGGAGAATATTACAAGTCGGAGACACCTAGCTATAGAGCTTTAGCCAGAGGCAGATCACGCTTTGTGGGAGACTTCTTGAAGGATTGCTGTTTTGCACTTGTATACAAGAGTGAATATTTGCTTCCGGATCATTTGATATGTTTAATGGAACGGGTCTGAAAAGTTTTGCATGTCATATCGGTCCATTCAGTCGTATCATTTCATCACTGAAAGCCGAGTTGTAGGTAAGACATTTCTGAATATTTTTCTCTGAATAAACTGGTTTCCTATTGATCCATAGATAAATCATTACACGACCTTTCTGTCAGTTCACGATCACCCTCAGTTGACAGCTGAATGTCAAGGTTTAATCATGAATCCTACAACAGGTGAACAGTCCATTGACGCAGATAGTTTACCCATAGTAAGTACATGCTTTTCTTATGTCATGGGAACTTCCAAAAGTTTCAATACAGAAAAGTGATTAAAAAACATATTGAATTACTTAATATCTCTTTTAAGACTGAATGAATCCCTCCAAGTACTTTTATGAGATCGCATTATTTTGGTTATTTTCAGGAGAGAACTGGTATAGTGATATATTTATTGACATACCCGTGTCTGTGTTTTAAGAGTCCATGCACAAATTTCGATAGACGAGCAACTAGCCAGAAAGTATGACCAGGATTCAGGATTCAGTGTTCACACTGTCAACCACTATTCTGACTCAGAATAGCTGAAACACTAATGTTGTACCAAGTCGCTGGGTCACCTTGGCTGTGCAGATTAAAACCCTTGAGCGTACCGGAAATCTTTAATCCTAGGTTCGAATCCCATATTCCGTTTGAGAAGTAGAGATAATTTCATCACTAGATTGGGGCGGTGAGGTAGCCTAGTGGTTAAAGCCGTCACGCCGAAGACTCGGGTTCGATTCCCGAAATGGGTACAACTTGTGAAGCCCATTTCTGGTGTCCCCCGCCCTGATATTGCTGGGATATTGCTAAAAGCAGCGTAAAACCATACTCACGAAATTCGTCTCTAAAGAGTGAATTATTTTGTTGTAAAGGGATTTTACGTTTTATCAGCACATGGCAATATGCTGTTTGGGGAACGTCCAGGTGATGTAGGTCGTGAAGGAATGTTTTCTTCTCACAAACTAAATAGTATATTTAGGTCGAATCTGGGATTCAAACCGCCTTCGTTGGATTGAGTGAGTGAGTTAGTTTTTCCAGCTATATGGCGGCGGTCTGTAAATAATCGAGTCTGGACCAGACAATCCAGTGATCAGCATCATGGGCATCAATCTACGCAAATGGGATACGATGACATGTGTCAACCAAGTCAGCGAGACCACTCGATCCCTTTAGTCGCCTTTTACGCTAAGCATGGGTTACTGAAGATCAAATCTAACCCGGATCTTCACGGGTTACCTTTGTTGGAACATGTACGGCTAAGGAACCCACTTGTTCTTACCGACCATTTAATGGCCTAGTTGAATCTGTCAGTATATGTCACACCGCTGTCCACGGGCCCAAGTCATCTGTCGTCCGTTTATACCTGTTCGTATTCTTTTACAAGCATCCGTATCAGAAAAAATACTGTTGCATTTACATCCACCCGTATCAGTATCCGTACATTTTGGTTGCCTGTGGCTTATAATTATTTTAATCTAATATCTTAGGTCGATATTTGCCGGATACGGATTGACCCCTCGATAGTTCTAATAGCCCGTGTTGTGACTTCACATTATATTGGGATTATATTAGTTCAATTCCAATGTCGCATGTCTGCAACATCGACTAGAGTTGGATAACCGTCGAAGTAACTACAGACAAGTTTACACGTAAAAGGGATGTGTGCCACGTTTACCGTGGTCGAGCTGGACACGTCGTTGGTTCGAATCCCAGATTTACCCTGATTACCTTTCCCTGGTTTGTCAACACCAAACCTGTACACGAGTTTAGTGAGTTTAGTTTTACGCTGCACTCAGCAATATTCCAGCTATAGGGCGGATCTGTACACGAGGGTCTCTGCAAAGTGTCAAACGTCAATGTCCTGCGGAAATTCCCTCCACAAAGTAACCCGTCGTCATTATCTGAGAAGTTTTATTCACATTGACTTTTAACGCAATTCCCGTCTTACCGTAAAGTTGGTGATTGTCCTCGTCCGGATCCTCTTCTGTACACAGTCGATGGTGGCGTCGTACCCGGGGGCGTTGAGTCGGATGAAGTAGGAGAGGTAGGTGATGGCGGATCGGTCGTCCAGCTCGGGGGAACATAGGTCCTCGGGACGCAGCACAAGGGGGATGTCAAAGTGCTGCTTCGCCAACTTCATGGCATTGCGGCAGTTGTTTAATCTGAAGGATGACATCAGTGGGTTACAGTTCCAGGTACTTTTCCAATAACTATTTGAATGAAATTTACTTGTTTTAATCAGATGAACAAATGTTGACATTGGCGTCTCAACCCATTCATTCATTCATTCATTCATTCATTCATTCATTCATTCATTCATTCATTCATTCATCAAGTTACCCGTACGTGTTAGAATTGGTCTTCAGCAACCCATGCTTGTCTAAGAGGCGACTAACGGGATCGGGTGGTCAGGCTCGCTGACCTGGTTTATGAATCTCATGGTATCCCAATTGTACAAATCGATGCTCATACGGTTGAGTGTCTGGTCCAGACTCGATTATGTACAGATCGCCGCCATGTAGCTGGAAATATTGCTGAGTTCGGCGTTTAACAACAAACAAATCATTCATCAGATGACCCGATGTTTTTTCACTGATATGTTCTCCCATTCACCCGTGTGTGTACAAACCTACTGAGTTGAATGTATGTTTTCATGCTTTTATATAAATCTTTGCATCCCTAATTAAATCATGCTGAGGTTGCAGATACTGTCTGAAGTTTCATTTCAACGTGTCACCAAGGTAGACAACTCTGTGTGGACTACACGAAGCTTGACGCTACAACCAGTGTACCTTCAACGCCCTGTCTGAACATATTAATGTACCCGTACCGCACCATAGTACACAGCTACCCTGGTGTTTAATGTACGGTCGCAACATAAACTTCACATGAATATGACATAGCTTCTGCAGTTTCATTTACTCTGGAAAACTAATGACCGGTCGCGACCGGTCGACTGTACAAAACAGACAAGGCTATTTCCCCACGCAGGGAGAAGCGACAACGCTGGCATTTCCATTGCCTGGAAGCCCCTTCGTATTAAACTTAGTTCTAAGTGAGTGGTTCGCCTTAATATAATATGATCCAGCACATAGCTGCCTCCTACGGAGGCGGTTCTGTTCGCCAGAATATCCACATTCCGCCCTGACGGAGAGTTGCGCTCCTGAATGACATTACCTGTACTTAACAATGAGACTCCCCACCTCAGGCAATATGCATTGTTCAAGCTTCTACTCGGCATTATAAAGGCATGATTTTATACAAGATATCCATGGCTGGTAAAACATCGTCTGATGGGTACATTTTCATATTTCATACTTGAACTGTTGTGAATGGTGGTAACCAAAAAAGTTACTAAGATAATGTATTAGTAACTGTGCGATTTAGGCCTAACATTTTGCCCCAAAAATTAACATTGTAAAGGAGCGTTCATAATATATGGCTAGGGGTGGGGCGTGGGGTGTGTGTGTGTGTGCGTGATGATGATTTTAATTGTGCAGCATGTACAATGTGAATCCCCACCCCTAAAATTTATGTCCAAAGTAACATGCGTGCCATGTGCAAAATTTACCCCTAATATTTAAGCATAATCTTAAATATTATTAAGCACAAAATTGCTGACCCCTCTAATTCATGTGTACAAAAATTATTAAACCCATCCCCCACCACGAATAAAATGGGTGACAAACACACACACACACACACACACACACACACCGAATAAAATGGGTGACAACACCCCACCCACCCACCCCCCACCCCACCCCAGCCATAAATTATGAAGGGTCCCTAATGCGTTAGTCACAGTGCAATATTAGAGATAACATTTTGTCCACACAAATATGCCCGTACTTGAGACTCTACTGCCCACACATCGTCGCCCTAGTACACTTTGCATCCACTATTAAAGCCACGACATTGTAAATACTTACATAAAGAAAACCAACCGCCTAGGCATACGTGCTAATTTGTTATTGACGGTAATGACATAAAAAGTCTGGCTGAATGTGAACTGGTGCTTTGTCATCAACAACCATGAGTACATCACCGTGTATGGATTATCTAGAACTCCTTGTAACCCTTCCTGTTACAGCATGTTGGTTACAGTATTACTGTCTCGGCGTCCTTGTAACCCTTCCTGTTACAGCGCTTGTAATGTTGCATGTTTACAGTATAACTGTCTCAGCGTCCTTGTAACCCTTCCTGTTACAGCTGTCTCGTCTCAGCGTCCTTGTAACCCTTCCTGTTACAGCATGTTGGTTACAGCAGTTGTACTGTCTCACTGTCTACAGCAGCGTCCTTGTAACCCTTCCTGTTAGCAGCATGTTGGTTAGCAGTGTTACAGTGTTACTTCTCAGCGTCCTTGACGCCACCGAGTGACATGCAACTTTAAGGCAACGCCCACTCTGTATAGAGTCATCAATGTCAGGTCACCCAGCTGATGCCGTCCACGAGAGTTTGCGCTGTTTTATTAAACATATACGGCCAAAGGTTAATATACTAGATTTGGGAGCGCGGCTGACACATTCGTCTTGAACACCTCAAATCTCTCTGCAGACTTGTGTCTCTTTGTCGTGTCAGGATCCTGAGATCCTGGGTTGTAATTCTAAAGTAGCTCTGGTTTGATATATGCATGGGTTTAGCCACAGTGTAGCCACCTTGATCTCTAATCTCCACAACGCCGGACTTTCCATCCAGATGAAGATAACACGCTGTGGCAAATGTAAACAGTTCAATGTGGCGTAAAACACAACTCTCTCTCACACTGAAACTAACACTCTTTTGGTACCTATAAAATACATACTTTCAATATGTTTTCATATTGAAAACATATCTTTCATTTAAGGATATTTCCTAGATGTCGACAGTAATCAACATCGCATAATGCAGTTTCTTATGTATACTTTAACAAGTGTGGAGGATTTTGATGACATTGTGTGCCGCAATGTTGGAGTTTCCTCATTTGTCCAGTAAGGTAATGACAACTAAGTGAGTAAATACTTCGCTCGGAACACTAAAGATACCTTATAGCATTGAACGACGTTCAATCACTCACTACTTCTATTGATTTTTTGTTCATATTAAAACAAGTAAAACTATAGAATCGTCCACTTAAGGGTGTTTGGTCTGTCAACACTGTTTGAGTGGCTTCCATAAGAGGCTCCCCCAGTGTGCTATTACAGAAATACTCTTACACTTCGCCACCTTCTCACACAGATCATTATCCGGGAAGCCTGAGCTGACGTTCCTGTTGTCTCACTTTCACGTTACATTACTTTGATTTCATCACGACCTTTAATCTGCCACGATTAAGTTAACATTTAATAATGATCCTTGAGTGACTAACAACTATCTGTTGAATAAACCCAACGTCGATAGAGGTACACTTGTATGCCACCCCCCAGCTGTCTGCTTGGCCATATCCCCTATCGGTATCCACAGAGGGCTCGCATTGACTCACTGACGGTGTGACGGTGTGACGGCGTGACGGCACGCTGCATTTAATAGTCAACGTCAAGTTTACATCAATATAAGCTTCGTACATACTGACGCTTTAAGAGACTATTGGTACCAGAAAGTTGTGTTACTGAAATCCTACCAAGGTCTCACCGTAGTATAGGAGTAAAATATATATCATGTGGTACTCTTCCTTTCGTAATAGACATTGTCAGCTTTAAACCTTCACTCGTTGCAAATAGAATTCATACGTCAGTTCAGAGACTCGCTTGAGGATGAAGTACATTTTCTGTTTAGTTGTCCTTTTTATTCTGACATAAAATATGATTTATGGCAAGATGTAATCACTGTAAATCTATTCGTCCATCTTCGTCTTAACTGCGCAATAACAACAGCACGTAGCTGCGTAAGTACTTAAATGTATAACGGAGGTAAGACGTAAGAATAAGACCGTATAACCCGTGAGTGTTTACGCATAGCTTCACTGCGTTATATATTAATTATTATTGTTTTACTATGGTGATACCGCTGTCTATCTGTACACAGTCTGGCCATTCTTGCGTCTCCTGAGATGTTATATTTTACCAAGTGATGTATTGTATCGACATGTACACATGTTTATAACATGTGACAAATTAATATAATATTTTTCTCCTTTCTTCTTCATAACTCTACGACGAGCCATGCGTACCGTGTTCAGGTTGCTGCACCTAGTGGGTTGAATGTTTTCGAATTATCGGATGGCTCTGGAGCGTGACGACCCGTGGGATGAGAACTTTTCATGTCTATTGAAAATGCAATTGCAAAATCTTCGAGCCATTCATATCTATTCCAGCCTCTGAATCATGCCATTATGAGCTGTTTCATGCAATGTTTGAATACTAATTGTCAATCAAGCGTAGGTTGTAGAGAAAGTCTGTTTTCGAATGCATGGCTTCCATTAGTATAGCTAAGGCCACCCCTGACTGTTTCGTTCACTGCTTAGTGCATTGGGTGGTTTTATTCTTGTTAAACCAGTTTCTCCGGTTATAAAAGAGGGATGAGTATTATAGCAGTATTACATGCACTGCATACCTGAATGTCAATAGACTGTTAAGAGGATTTCTCATTTGGGTTACTTAACCCCAGATTCAGCAATATTTCAGTTATAAGACAGTTGTCTTTGAATAATCAAGTCTGGACCAAGCAATCCAGTTGTGAAGATCATGACCATAGATATACCCAGTTCCGGTACCATGTCTTACTCGGTACTCACTTGTTGTCTTACTCGGTACTCTCTTGTTGTCTTACTCGGTACTCTCTTGTTGTCTTACTCGGTACTCTCTTGTTGTCTTACTCGGTACTCACTTGTTGTCTTACTCGGTACTCTCTTGTTGTCTTACTCGGTACTCACTTGTTGTCTTACTCGGTACTCTCTTGTTGTCTTACTCGGTACTCACTTGTTGTCTTACTCGGTACTCACTTGTTGTCTTACTCGGTACTCACTTGTTGTCTTACTCGGTACTCACTTGTTGTCTTACTCGGTACTCACTTGTTGTCTTACTCGGTACTCTCTTGTTGTCTTACTCGGTACTCTCTTGTTGTCTTACTCGGTACTCTCTTGTTGTCTTACTCGGTACTTGTTGTCTTACTCGGTACTCTCTTGTTGTCTTACTCGGTACTCTCTTGTTGTCTTACTCGGTACTCTCTTGTTGTCTTACTCGGTACTCACTTGTTGTCTTACTCGGTACTCTCTTGTTGTCTTACTCGGTACTCTCTTGTTGTCTTACTCGGTACTCTCTTGTTGTCTTACTCGGTACTCTCTTGTTGTCTTACTCGGTACTCTCTTGTTGTCTTACTCGGTACTCACTTGTTGTCTTACTCGGTACTCACTTGTTGTCTTACTCGGTACTCTCTTGTTGTCTTACTCGGTACTCACTTGTTGTCTTACTCGGTACTCTCTTGTTTCTTCTTACTCGGGTACTCACTTGTTGTCTTACTCGGTACTCTCTTGTTGTCTTACTCGGTACTCTCTTGTTGTCTTACTCGGTACTCTCTTGTTGTCTTACTCGGTACTCTCTCTTGTTGTCTTACTCGGTACTCTCCTTGTTGTCTTACTCGGTACTTGTCACTTGTTGTCTTACTCGGTACTCACTTGTTGTCTTACTCGGTACTCACTTGTTGTCTTACTCGGTACTCTTGTTGTCTTACTCGGTACTCACTTGTTGTCTTACTCGGTACTCTCTTGTTGTCTTACTCGGTACTCACTTGTTGTCTTACTCGGTACTCACTTGTTGTCTTACTCTGTACTCTCTTGTTGTCTTACTCGGTACTCTCTTGTTGTCTTACTCGGTACTCTCTTGTTGTCTTACTCGGTACTCTCTTGTTGTCTTACTCGGTACTTACTTGTTGTCTTACTCGGTACTCACTTGTTGTCTTACTCGGTACTCACTTGTTGTCTCTGTTTAGGTGATGCCAGTTGGGGCAGATTCCTGGCTTGCAGAATTCCAACAGTGCACTGCAAGAAAAAGGTTTTTAGAGAATGAATTTTCGCGATATGCCGGAGCTGTGTGTCACTTCACTTGAACTCATGCGCCTATATATCATCCTCTACCGTGCCCTTATGCATTCATCTATAGATACAGCGTTTATCTCGCCCAAAATTAGTTCCTAGATATTCTAACAACCCAGGTGGTATATCGACTTAATCGTTTGTGTCGAAGTTGTGTCTAGACATTCTTGATTATCTTCACTCAAGGTTCACTCTGCAGATAATCTTTGGATCTTTGGAACTTTTCCGTTCAAGTATTGTTTGCTGGCTGGATCTATCTCACGACTTTTATAACGTATAACTGGGTATCATGGACCCGCTACGACCGTATTAAAATATACCAGCCAATCACGAATATTCTCCCTTCTACCCACTTACTAACTACCATGTAGCCTGCCAGTTCGGATGCTTGTTGCTGGAAGATCACTCTACCTATGATAAATGTCATGTAATTGTACAGATTGTTACCTGAAAGCAACGTGAAATGATTAAGTGATCTCATTAAGTGCCTTCAACGGCAATATATCATCTCGCTATACCGCGGTGGTACAACTAACTGTTCAACCTCAGTACACGAAGGTGTATCGACTCACTGTACCACCTCAGTACATCAAGGTGTATCAACTCACTGTATCACCTCACTACACGAAGGTGTACCACTTCAGAACATATATATACACGAAGGTGTATCAACTCGGGCGGTGGGGTAGCCTAGTGGTTAAAGCGTTTGCTCGTCACGCCGAAGACCCGGGTTCGAATCCTCACATGGGTACAATGTGTGAAGCCCATTTCTGGTGTCCTCCGCCGTGATATTGCTGGAATATTGCTAAAAGCGGCGTAAAACCAAACTCAGTCAGTCAGTCAGTGTATCAACTCACTGTTCCACCTCAGTACATCAAGGTGTATCAACTCACTCTACCACCTCAGTACATCAAGGTGTATCAACTCACTCTACCACCTCAGTACATCAAGGTGTATCAACTCGCTCTACCACCTCAGTACACGAGGGTGTATCAACTCAACTACCACCTCAGTACACGAGGGTGTATCAACTCACTGTACCACCTCAGTACACGAAGGTGTATGAACTCAATCTACCACCTCAGTACACAAAGGTGTATCATATCACTGTACCACCTCAGTACACGAAGGTGAATCAACTCACTGTACCACCTCAGTACACGAAGGTGTATCAACTCACTCTACCACCTCAGTACACGAAGGTGTATCAACTCACTGTACCACATCATCTCAATGGTACATCAACTCACTGTAATGCCAAGCCGTCATTCCAGTCGGTTGTAAAGTTCCTAACCCGGTACTGCGGTATCACTGCCTGTATCCATTTGAGAATCCACTGCCGATGTTGCACGGCTGACAGTCCAACTTGATAACGTAGAATCACCTGCCATATGAGGCCGAGCAGGAGCTTCACGTTGCCCTCTGTCACCACGGCACTGTCTGGAAACAACACACTACAGTATTAGCCCAAACAATATCTGCTTCCAAACAATCTAGATTTACATGTAAGTGGACTACCGTTGACCGGGTGGTATCAAGCATCGACAATGGTTTGATTAGAGTAGCGTCCCTTTGTAGATTAAGGATTTGAGTTGTAGCGTAAGGAAATTGACTGTGACCCCTCTTTTGTAAGGCTGTGTGGCTAGGTTTCGCCAGAAAGGTAGATATCTAGTGGAAGGCATACATATGCTGTATACGTGATTATGATTGTAATTGTATGCACGTTCGGGAGTGTGCCTGTGTGCGTGTCTGCGTTTGTGTGCGTGTGCGCCTGTGTGTGCATAATTGTGTAAGTAATTAAGCATATATGAGAGAGAGGATCTCAATGGGCACCTGCATTGTTCGTGTTGCTGAAATTCTTAACACAGTTCAACATCAGCCATTGCTTGTGCAGAATGCTCGTTTTTATAAAGTGTGACATTTTACACATTTGAAGTTTTCATCGCAGATTCATCATTAGATTTAAACCACAACACCATTCCTAATACAAGATCTTACGGCCCTTGTGTCTCAGTGGGTGTCAAGGAACCGTTAACCTTTCAATAATATTATTGGTATACACGTGGAGGACAATTCCCAGTTTGACGTATGTGTGACACAGTTATTGCACTATTCCGTATTTGGATCTGGAATGGACATCATATTGTATTAGTGTCCGAATTAGAAGAGCTGAGGTAACTGCCACAGTCAGCTAAACGTCTTTATTCAGCAGGGCTTACCTTGCCGGTATGCTTGTCCACTAGGAATGCTGCTTCTATGGACTCGTTTAGGATATGAGCGAAATATGCTGAGCAAGTTTAATAACGAGCCACTTACATGTGTTCAGTGTTGTGCGTACAAGATGTTTTATATTAATGTTTTGGGCATAGATGTTCATTCGGAAACTATATCATGTGTCAAAGAAACTTGTTTTATTTTAAAAAAAACATGGAAATATGAAACATCACTGCCAAAGTCTGTCTTGATTAACTGCCCAAACAGTGATGAGTGAGTGAGTGAGTTTAGTTTTACGCCGCTGTTAGCAATATTCCAGCAATATCACGGCGGAGGACGCCAGAAATGGGCTTTAACCACTAGGCTACCCCACCGTCCCCCCTCAAAGTAAGTCAGATAGATACACGTGGTTACCCTATACTATCATCGAGATCCATCAAGACGGATGGACCAAAAGTTAGATCTCATCTTATAGCAGATAGCAAAACCCTAAGAGCATTGGTCTTTTCTCTGAAGAGAATATCATTCATACATCAAATGCTATTCTAACATGCTGTATTCACACACAACACATCACTATGCAGTATGCCGAACAGTTCAGTCAACTGGCCTCCAACTGTCTGTCTGTCTGTCTCTACTTCGAGTTGTATCATGCTTCGCCGTGTTTTGTTTCAGATGAATAATTGACTAGCCTTTGCATGTGCCTATGACGAGGGGCACCGACAGGACACGCTCACCTTTCCGCAAGCACTTTGTGTCATCACTAAAATGATTCATAAACACATGACAGCGTTGGGATCGTACAGTCGATTCTGGTTTTAGTGGATGTATTTCATGGATGTGGAAGAATCTTGTCGCTATATGTGACACCAACTTATCAAACCAGTTTGACAGTCACCAGCCACATATGACTATGTTCTTTACTTCGGCAAACTTGGCACGTGATCGTATAATTATATGCACGTGACCCTTCGTCCACACTGTGATGATTTCCTATAACAGCAGGCCACGTGTTGCATAACACGCTAATTTGCATATAACGATTAATGCTAAATCTATAAGCAGCACTTTCAACCGTTAAATCTTCGTTGCTTGACTTGACTTATTCTATTATGCATTCAGATTATATCTTGACAGTTTATTTCCATGGCACTTTCGTCAAGCGTGAGAAAAGTGAAAGTTACCATCTGTTCTAACTGACGTTACCCAATTATATATCATGGTTCTCTAACGTTCTCTGTGTTGACACGTTTCCCGATTATTGTTATAGAATGTTTCAAAGGTGTAAATATAAAGTGAGTGAGTGTGTTTTACGCCGATTATAGTAATATTCCAGCAATATCAGGGCTGGGGACACAAGAAATGGGCTTCACATATTGTACCAATGTGGGGAATCGAACCAGGGTCTTCGGCATGACGAGCGAACGCTTTAACCACTAGGCTACCCCACCGCCCTAAATATCAAGTTCAAGGTTTCTCTCATTATTAGGTTAACGTTTTAACGCCAAAGTATGCAACACCAACCGCTACATCACACCAGGTAGATACTGCAGATGTCAAAGTTACTGTGAGTGTGAATGGAAGTACAGAAACATACCAACAACGCGATCATACCAAACCAAACTCAAGCTTGTGTCAAACAATATCTGTTTGCTAGACGAAAACATACCACATCCTACCTCTGTTGGTACAGCCCATGCAAACATTCTTTCGGATATACTCATAAAATATGTGTACATATTTGCTCTTCCAAAGTTTCATATGACTACATCCAGCGAGAGTCCCGCTCACTGAAGGAGGTAGGTCTCCAGCAGGGAAACCACTGCAACTTAATGCATTCCTGACGGCGTTTAGGTGCAACTGCTTGTTCTCTTCAGGTCTCAACTATAACACTGGTAATTATTCAGTTGCCATTGGTTATTATACGTCGTCTATATAAACAGTGTATTCATGTACATGCACAACCTGCTAGAGCATCCATACATCTACTTGAAGAACGGGACATACCTTGAAATGAATGTTAACTTTGAAGGACATGTTTCTGTTTCGAGTGTGTTTTCTTTCAGCTACTATTTGTAATTACTATGTTTGCTAATCTGCGCAAAATGAATGGCCATAAAACAATATAGTTGTACAGATTCACCGAGTATCCTAACAATGGACTTACACCGGTACTTACTCAACATTCAAAGAAAAAAAAACCTTCTACAAGTTTTGTTTTTAAAACATGAAAAGATTTATAACATTTAAATAAGAATATTTATGATATTTAACACACAACTGCCCATGTGTTCACAGACATCTTACCTTAAAAATTAGGAAATTGTTTTTTGGGCAGTCTGTAAACTTAGGCTCAGTATTATTCGTTACACTGCTATACTCAGTATAACAAAACCTAGTAGAAGGACGGACGTGTCAGCTAACATTTGAGCGACCTATGACCGTCCAGTCAAACGCGAGACGGCCGAACGGATATAACCAATCAGACAACGACTACTTGTTAGGGTTCGGCGGGACTTACAAAACGGTTTTTGATTTTCTCTTCCCTGGTCGCTGACACTGATCTATCAACAAACGAAAATCCGCATAAAACACAGATATTTGACCTGCAGTATATACGCTTATTGGTTTCTAATGACATGGTTACTATTTGCTTATATTTTCGCAAGATGACTTCCTTGAATATTGACAAACACGCTATTTTCAGCGACTGTTTACTCATTGCGTGTATCACTCGGAAGCGATCGTGCGGAAAATAGCATTCGGAATCGTTCGAGTTTTTAGGTAAGGTTCACACGGTATGTGCGAATGCTAACGTTCGCCATTTAGTATGTTCTGATTGGTCAGTCCAAAAGGTTAGCTGACGCGACCTTCTACTAGGTTTTGTTAGACTCAGTATAGCAGTGTAACGAATAATACTGAGCCTAAGTTTATTTTTTTTTGGGCGCCAAATATTTCAACATGGTCGGGTTATGCGCTTGCAAATTCATTTCTGACCAAAGTATTCTGTAAAGCAACTATCGACCTAATGAAATTCAACAGTTGTTTCTATTTCAGCTACATTTAAATTGATATACTTTATTTTTGCCGCTCAGCTTATTTGAAATTTGCAGTTGCATCAGCATTGTTTCTGCAAATTATCTCCTGTAAACATACAAAATAATACCAATATTATTGCTCATTTTGCAATAAATATAGACCGTACGAAATTAAATGTCGATTGTATATTTTTCTTTGCTTTACACAGTTCGAAATCAATATGATATCAAATTAGGTTATAAACTGATCCGACTCCAGAGGCGTGCGGCAGTTGCTTTAATGAGTACACATACTGCAGATAATGTCTACACCGTGCTTGTGTTGTGCTGTGGTAATTGTAACGTAACGTAGGCCCCTCTGTATTTAAACATTCCGTCCGTCCTGTTGACACTGAGCTGTTCAGGCACTACATCATTAACGAGCCTAAGTTCCAAATCACCTCTCCATTGTACACCAACATTATATCAATATAAAAACATACATCTATGAATAATGCATTATGTGACCGATAGTAATCATGTTATCTTATCCAGGCATGCAATCTGTTATTAACGTAACACTTGTCGACGGTCTGTGGTCTGATCTACGCAGGCAATGCGTTATTATCGTTGCTATTATAAAATGTATTTTGGGTGTTTTCAGGCAGGTATGGAATTAGTTTGATCATAATCTATAGACATTAATGGATCGATGCCGTTCAAACAATAGTTTATGTATATACGCTTACGGATGATCGTAGAGTATCAACGTAGATACTTTACATGCTTACATCATTCTTGTGGAGTCTAGTGTAAAGACTAAGCGGGTGAGGCGCTGAAGTATTTCAATGAACACTAAGAAGTTACCCAAGCACACCGGGACGAAATGTAAGCTTTTCACGGAACAATAGGCAGGTATTTGTGAAGGGATATATTATGACTGACCTTCTCACGTTGTGATACCTCCTCGATAATGGATTTTTCTGAGCAAAAAATACTGCTTGAATAGCTAGTTACTTACGATTATTCTCCAGTTAACTCAAAGCGACAAATTTTTTTCTATTCTTTACTCCCTCAAATACCGACGCCATTTTGCTACAGACGTAATTAGTGAGTATGGTTTTACACGGCTTTTAGCAATTTCCCAGCAAGATCACGATTGGGGACATCAGAAATAGGCTTCACACATTGTATCCATGTAGGGAATCG